GTAATTGAACCAAGGTCATGGGTCGCGGACCAAGGACCACTACGCGAAATTTGGTTATATTTTTTCAAGAGTCGGTAAAACAAAAAATTCGAACTCTACAGCAATGTGCTTCCAACGGCAGAAAAAGGTTTATCCGAAAACTTGTTCTGCAAAAAGGCAAGTCTTCCCGGTGCGTTTTATTTATTCACAAGCTAAGTAAACATGACCACGGTGCCGCCGAAGTCCAAACTTCAAGCTAGAACGACAAATTAACCTACCTGTCAACAAACTTTAATCTCGCTCCTTCAAAGAAAGAAAGAATGCTTATAATCAATAAATCATTGAACCTTTCATTGTTCATTGTATTTTATTTCTCGACGAAATATTTAATCATGCCCGGGAAAGTCGCGGACCAAGGACCACATACTAACTGTACAAGTCACTCGCGAACATTTCCTCCACCGATCGATCTTCAACCAAGCTTCTGGGCTTCCGTAAACAACAGAGAAAGTCCCTCTCTCGACAACCGTCATATTCTCTTGCTAATATAACTGAGCGTTACAGCAGGAATACCAATATTTTCCAGCTTTGTAGATTGATCTTTCAAGATTTACCAGGGGCGAAACAACAACAACAATAATGTCCAGTAGTTCCACGCACTGTGTCGCAAACAAGCAGCAAAGCTTGATAGATAAGGGATTTGCCAAATCCCGTCGGCAAATTTATGAACTCATCGGTCTTCGCTATAAAATTTGCAGGATAGCTTCTCTCTGATACTTGTTTAACTCTGTATTAATTACAAATTTCTAGCCTGTTCCAGGCGTTCAGATAGTGGGGAGTTTCGCTTTCTTTACTTCGCACCGCTCTCCACTATCTGAACGCTTGGAACAGGCTAACAAATTTCTCGCACACTCGATCAAAAGCCTCACTGATCGTGCGAACGGCTCGGGTTACGTTTTACAAAAAACCGTAAACGGCTTGTGATTGGTGAACACAAATGTCGGCTCTGTTTAGCAGACGTCCGTGGGGGAGAAATGAATGCGTGACAAACGAACCCCAAAGGACGTCTGCGGGGAGGCTAGGTTGGGATATCTTTTTCGCCATCTAACAACGGTAAGGAAAGCCTCTCCTCTATACATGACCTCGGTGAAGAGTGTTGCTTACATCAGTCAACTTTAAGCCTTTTCATGTAAATTAGAATTATGCAAGTCTCACGGCTGGAACGGGATGAATGTTATCTTTCCTCCTTTTGCCTCGATAATAGGGAGTTTTTAAAAGATACCACAACAGCGGCGGCCACGAAAACGCCACTTAAAAAGTGAATTTTCGTTCTTTCAATCTCTCTTACGATTACTCCAACTCATTTACTTTGTCAAATGCAAGCGAACTCTTTTTGAGCCGAATCCCTGAGAACCATATTCAAGTTCAGAAAGAGACAGAAAATTTCATGTAACCGTCGCTTGTTTACGTCCTCCGCAAAACGTGAAATTAAGCATTTTCCCGTCGTAGTCGTGCAGTGATGGCGAAGAAATGTACAAAAAGCGTGATGTACGTGCAGACTTGTTTTGCCTACTCGACCTATTGCTTTTTTGACGTTCTCGTTGTCGTCGCCGTCACGGCATCTTAAAGTCCCTAATTGGTACGTATATAGATAGATAGATAGATAGATAGATAGATAGATAGATAGATAGATAGATAGATAGATAGATAGATAGATAGATAGATAGATAGATAGATAGATTATTAAATAAATACACGTGCAGTCAGAGGCTGAATTGCATATTTACAAATAAACTAAGCTAAAAAATAGAATAATTTACAATACATCAATATTAAATTAAAAATATTAACAATTCATGTTGTACTTTAGGCACGAAAGGATGACAAAATAAAAGTGTTCTTAAAACGGTCCGTCTTCCACTTTGGAAGTGGAAAGTGTCGATGATTTCTCAGTAAATATGGAGCCTTATTGGGTTCAGTTAATAGCTTGTTAAGTTTGTTAAGGAAATACAAACGTTTAGACGGCCTTCTTAATTAATTCTCGGGCTCGGGTTTCTAGGCACTGATTGGCACTGAGTCTCGCGCTCGGATTTTGAAGCAAGGGTCTCAGCTTCTCGGCGAGTCTCGGATTTTACCACTCCCACTACTCCCCTAAGATCAACCGATGATCCGCTTGGAGCTTTTACATAAGATTTTTGGGTACGTCGTTACTGTTCGTTACCTCTCGGGTTGACCAAACTTTAACCGTGTGAAATAACTTGGCGTTTTTTAAAAATACTTTTCCAAACTCAGCAAATGAAATTTGTGCTTCCTGGTTCCGGCGCCCTGCTTTTACTTCGAAGGGACTACATTTTCCATTCACTTTCAACATCATTGTATTATTAAAAAAATATGAGCTTTTGAATAGTATTAAAGTTGAGCTGTTCGGTGACGGCACTTTCCTTCATCACATTGCGTGATACTTCGTAGTTGAACAGGTAAAAGCTCCCAGGAAACTTTACTTGCCGGTTTATTCCTATGATTATTAGGATCTTGTATAAAGAGTCCTTACACAAGCCTTGTGTAAGGACTTTTATACAAGGCTTGTGTAAGTGTTTTACACAAGCCTTGTGTAAGCAGCTTTAAGTCTTCTGTAGGGACTCTTTATACAAGCCTTGTGATAAATACTTACACAAGCCTTGTATAAAGAGTCCTTACATAAGACTTGTGTAAGCCTTCTTACACAAGCGGTAAGTATCTTACACAAGCCTTCTGTAAGCTTTCTTACGTGTTCGGTAATTATCTTAGGAAAGCCTTCTGTAACTCATACACAAAAGACAACAAAAACTTTTTACATGATTTTTAAGTGTTAAAGAAGGCGTTCGTAAGAAGGACTTTTAGTAATGAGCTATTTTAATTTAGTTGCGTTATTTAGTGACACAGCAACTAAAATAGGGTAATTTTAGTGCAGTGGAATATATAAGGTGTTGTATATTATATTCTGTTACTGTTTTTATATAAGGTTATGTGCCCAGCTGCTGAGAATGATCCGATTATTACATCTCTGTCAGAGATGTAGCCTGCGTAGCATGGCGGTTTTGGTTGGGCGCGCTAAGTAATGCCGCTCCTGCGCCCGGCTCGACAGAACCGCCATGCTACGCAGGCTATCAGAGATGCTACATGTTTACAACAACACGTACTAAGATCGTACATTAAAAATGTAGGAAACTAGCTAGGACAATACACTTTTCAGGGCCGTAGCTAGGTTTTTTGTAACCGGGGGGGGGGCATTATCGAGAGTGCCGAAGGCAAGAGCCTTGTAGGGGGGTCTGGGGGTACGTATCCTCCCCCAGAAAATTTTCAGATTTGGAGGCTCCGAAATGCTATTTTTAGCACTTGTCATGAGATATGTCTCCGAAAAATCGACCTCGAATATAAAAATGGCAAAAAATTGCAAGTCACTATAATCAAAATAACTGAGCCTAAAGAAAAAAACTGCATCCACAGACTTGATGTGTCTGGCTCAACAGGTCCAAGGGGGCAGCTGCCCCCCTTGCCCCTCCCCCCGTTAGCCACGGCTCTGCTTTTCGAGTCGTAAATACGATAAAAGTGCGATGTATTTACGTTAGGGCAATCATCTTAGTTTTCTTGGGATATAATCGTATTGTGTGTACGACAATATTACGATAATATCAATAATCGAATTTAACTCGTATATTAAACGAGGAAAAATTGCGATTTATTTACGCACGGACGCTGGCCGACAATATAGCGATCATATTATTCCTTGAATTTAAATCGTAAATCAAACAAGAGCAAGTTACGATTCTTTTACATTACGCAAGGGCGTTCGTCGTAATTTGACGGTAATTAGATCGTATTTCGAAATACGATTTTATTACGATCGTCTGCGAGTAAAATACGGTCAACAAAATACGATGAAAACAGCTGATGAAAACGCGATCTAGAGGTCAGTAGTGAGACTAAGCAGACGCGCGCATCCTCAGTTATCCTCAGCTGCATCCTGATGTTTAACTTCGCTTTTATTGAAAACTTTAAGTTCACGTACACTGCCAAAAGCATGTCCCAACAAATTCAATTACTGTGTTTGCCCTGAGCTTGCCCTTCATATTTTCATTGCAGTTTACCCAGATTCCGCAGCAATTTTAGCAATGATATAGGGAGGATGTAGTGATGTCTATTCAACACTTCTCATCCGAACTAGGGATTACAAAGATTAAAATTCCCTCGTTTTTAGACGAATCCCAAAACTAGGTTGGACTTGCACGAATCGTTTTTTTCAAAAATTAGCCAGCTCCTTCACCCCTCGCGTGTCTCCCTCTCGCGCGCCCGTTTTTTCTTGCGCCCACTACTTCCAAGCGCCTGCTACGCAGACAACTCAAAAATCAAATGGTCGGTCCCTTAGTTTATCGCTGCAAGACGATGTCGTTTTTTCAGGTCGCCTCACAGGCTTATTCATAGTATAAAAACGCATTTCCTACAAACCTTTATTTTTATTGTACGTTAAAAAGCTTGTTTTATGTTTTACAAAAAATATAAAATCAAACCAAAGCCGTTTACAGAAATCGAATTTTTCAGAAAGGTTACCGTAAAATTCCGAAAATAAGACCCTCTATGCAAAAGCCCCTCCAAATATATAGGCCCCCCAAACCGGTAACGCAAAAAACCTCCCATTAAATCGCCCCTCCAAATATAAGCCCCCAGGGGCTTGTACTCGGAAAATTGCCCTCAAATACAAAGTAAAACGAAGCAAAAACGGTAAATTTACTTCCAACTGTAAGGCTAGCCCAATCGATTTTGAAACGCAAATTTCCCTTCGTAGATAATCCCCTCCGAATATAAGCCCCTCCAAAAATAAGCCCCTCAAATAGGGCCTTTGAAAAATATAAGCCTCGGGGCTTATTTTCAGAATTTTACGGTATTTCTCGCCCTTGCAAAAGTTTTAGCGTTACGTTTTTTTTGTTGTTGTTGTTGTTTTTGTATTTTACATTTTCCATCCTGGGCACTGGCAGCAAAGTTGTTTAGACATAGACAACATAAACATCACAGCAAGCTCTTCCTCCGTTGTCTCCTTCGGACCTGTTCACAAAATCCTCTCCGAACCATAAGCGTAACTCTTGACCGGAACTGACCGAGTGAGGATGGGCATAAGCTGAAAGAACAAGAGCGGGAGATAACGAAGTATAGCCTGGAATCTTGGACCACTTTTCATTGGTGATGACAAACTGACTGGGTGGGAAAAGAATGTGATTGACTGAGGTTGCTATGACCACATTCACTAGTTCGTTTACCCAAGAATGCGGATGTTTGAGGTAGCCACAGCCCCAGTACGAGAAGCTGGACCTCCCTAAGGAAGTGGCACAGGACACGTAGCCGTACAGGTGAACCAGCTTTATGGCGGCCAACTTTCCACTTGATGGAGCATAAAATCTGCCAAAGTGGTCTCCTCTCGCTCCAAAACACACTGGAGAGTAATTCACCTTTAGCCATCGATCTAAAGGAAAAACGAAGAATTTAAATGTATCAGTGCAGGGAACTATCCAACCGTCTAAGCTGTCACTTCTGGCTGTTTTCTAGTTGTAGATCTAGATCTTGGTCTATATTTGACGAAGTGAGCGAGTTAGAATAAGCGATGAAGTTTAGAAAAACACGAATGCTGACTCTCAGCATAGAAGTGACGCTTTTGCTGCAGTTGTCGTCGTGACTGCTTAAGCTCTGGCCCTTAACATTTATTCCTTTTGACAGCCGAGTCTGTTAAAATATTCAGTTTTTAAGCTCTTAACTGTCTACTGGTGAAACTTTTTTGTAGGCGACAAAGTCCATTTCAATGAGAAAAATTATTCTGATCTTGATTTGTATTTAACTTTTTACTTATTTATTACAAATCAAGGGAGATTCAGCACTTGAAAAACCTTCAACAGACCTGAGCTTCTTTTGGCGATCTCTCTTTTTGATAATTTTCTCCGGCCGATCGAAGGATCATCTTTTGAGCCAGGCATTTCGCTGCCATCTTGTCGGGGAATTTCCTCAGCCAACAGCCTCCTGGAAATGCCGCAGATGCCGAAAGTAACAACGAAAACGAAAATCATATTAATTTCGACCATTCGACTCATTTTGTGAATTGATCGGTTGTAAAACTTATTGAGCTCCGTTGTTCTCGATTATTTCCCCTCATTTTGTTCCTGTTAAAACAAGATCTGCTATTGTTAGATATTACGTATGGCTAACAGTGAAAGTTGTGATTGTTACGCATGACTGACCTTTTTGCTGTTTTATTATTCTCACAAAAGAAATGGAAACCATAAAAATCATGAATAATTTTAACGTTGAGGCTAAATGATGGGCAGTCCGATATTTTCAATAAATTTGACAATTGAAAATGACAGAATCCCAGCTATCTAATCCAAACTATCATCAAACTATCTGCAAAGCCTTACTACCTGTCTCTCTTGCATGGCTAGTCGTTTAAGTTGCTGATCTGTCGCGTAGTCGGTTTGTTTTTCATAAGCCTTCGTTTTAATACGCTCGGCTCAGAGAGAGATAATGATACAAGAGAAATCCAAAACATATTTTCCCTTTCTGAAAATAAAAAGCACTTATTTACATGTAAAGCTGCGACTGAAATTGGCGAAAAAGTCACGTATATTAAACTTGTGGATTACGCGTAGCGTAAGGAACAAGTTATTTGTGGGCACTGCGATATGCAAATTTGTCACTCAGATGTAGACACCTTTCGTAAATCAGTCGGCTCCACACGAACACGCCAAATATCAAAACGACAACTGTCGTAGATCGTTCTCCTTCCCCGATGTGCTGATTTTCAGAGGAGTCAGAGGACGATTGTCTTCATGTGGACTTTGAATGTTTCAAATTAGAACTATGTCCAACTTTGAGACAGAAGTTTATGAACCGTTTGAAGCTTTTTTACTCGTCCAGGCGATCATGAACATGACGCCGAAAAGATTAGCAATTGCTCTTCGACTTCCAAGCGAAGGTCCAAGCTCACGATTCTGCCGTGAGTCTCACGATGTTTTACCTTTTCTCACGACAAGACTCCCAATCTCATGGTTTTTAGTGAAATATCATTCTGAAATGAAATGTTTCTTTGTTCAATAAAAACGGAAATGTTTACTGCTGAATCGTAAGTGATTCTCCTCATGAGAGAATCGCAAGCTACAAGAGACTTAGGGCAAATGGCCTATAGCCCTGGTTTCGTTCTTTAATTTCTTTTTGTTTTTTTTTGTTTTTTTTTGTTTTTTTTTTTCGTAAAACATATTTTCATTTCTTGACAAACTTAAAATGTACCGTTAGACTAATTGCAGGTTCATTATCAGCTTTATTTCTAAAATACAGTAATTAATAATCCACAAGTTAGCCTTAGGCACCCTTTGATTCGTTTCGAGAGTAAATCAAGACCGTGATTTTTATGGAGTTTTGTAGTAGGAAACATCGGTTTCGACTAAAAAGGGGTTACATTTTTGTGTAATAAAGTTGAATTACTCACATTGAAGTAGTCTTTTGTCGTTTCTGGTCAATTCTGCCCGTATATTCCTTGTAACACCCGGAGACGGTTGACTAAGAATGTAATGAAGTACTTAGCACTGGCGAACTACTACATGATCGGACCACGAGAGTGGCTACACCAAGAACTTACCCGATTATCGATCGTCTTCTGGGGCCTGGGGTAAACCTGGGGCCCCTGGCCTTCGAGCTTTGGCTAGACCCGGGCTTTTCTGGAATGCGCACCACAAAAGAATTATTCAGTCGTCAAAAACACTTCACGTAAAGGTCTTGTAGCAACAGAAAATGTCCAGCAAAAATAACTTCCTCGTCCTCTCACTGCTGGTTATGTTCAACATGTCTTATCTTCATATAATGGTAAGTACGAGCGAAGTTTAAGGCGGTATCATGCTCACGCATGTTTAAGCTTAATTCATTTTATAGATCGATAATGTACCCTTGAAAAAACTTGCAAGAAGCTTAAGCTTGCATCACATAGTTGCCCAGAAAGTTAATTTCTCGGTTTTATACGTTCCCTTGACCTGAAAGCGCCTTAAACAGAGGTGTTTTACTTAAGTTATTTTAATCTCCTCTTTTGGAAAATGAAGCTTATAACTGTACATGAAATATGCATTATCATGAAAAAATCGTCCTTCACAATCTTCCAACCCTTCGCGTTTGCAGATGAATCATTTACTATCAAATTCAGATCTTCATGCGGATTTCATTTATATTAATTTAGAGGAAAACTGCACTGTTTCCGTATCATAATCGAAGGTCAAGTCAACTGATATCGGTGGTGTATAGTACTAATTTGCTGAGTTTGCTTTAGTTCGTACAGTTTGCTTTCGTTACTTGAAGGAGACCGTATAGCCTTATAGAGGAAAAACTGAACTCAATACATGGGCAAAATGAGGAGTTTATGCAATAACATGACGAATGTAGACGCCTAATGTAGAATGTAGAACAAGAAAAAAAACATGAATCTGTTTTAGTTATTTTCTGTATTATTCTCGCTTGAGGCTATGGTAAATTGCCTAAAATAAAATTAACCCATTCGCCCCTGAACCACCCGTAACCGCCCGTGCGGATCCACGTCCTTTCTACCCTTTGTGACATCATCAGTTTTAACGATCAAGGACAACTTTGTCCGCTAACTTGTGCAGAGTGAAGAGATCTTTCAAACCATACCAGAATGAGCACAATTCAGTAAAGGACACCGGAGAAAGAGGCAAAAAACCATGTAACGTTGACCTGAAAATCTCCATGAAAATCTTGTTCCATTGCTCACCTACCCTTCCTTTCACCTAATCCTAAGATCCTAAAAGCTTTCCTAAAAACTATTCCCACCAAAATGAAGCCTACTAAATGCCCAGCAAGAGAAAAAAAAAATGAGGCAAGAAAAGCGAAAAAAGAGGGGAGGAGAGAAAGCAAAAAGTAAAAGTCAAGACTGCTTGTCGTGTCACTTTTAAACCCAAAAACTATCTCGCAATTTTGCTCTCTGCGCATGCCCGAACTTTGCAAGCTGATATTTTGCATCTGAATCAGAGGGCTGTGAAGTGTATGACCTGTAAACCGGTTTGTGGTAAGTTTTAGCTCTTTATAGCAGGACAGTGACTAGAAAACCACTCGAGTATCTTCAAAACGCGTTTTTCGACACAATCTCCAGGAGCGAATGGGTTAAAAAAAATACAAAAAAATGTCCTTACTGCGAAATTTATAGTTTGTGGCTAAAAGATGTTCTCAGAAATGACCAGTATTTGCACTTCATTCGTTCTTTGTTGTCGAACATATGACATTATTTTTTTGTCGTTTTCAACTTGTCATTTTGCTCGCACACGTACTCGTTTTTCTCCTGACCCCGGTCGTTCAAACGTTGGATAGCGCTATCCATCGGATAAATCACTATCCAGTGGATAGGTATTAAGGAAACCAATAATTGGTTTCCTTAATTATTGCGTTATCCACTGGACAGATTTTTATCTGGTGGATAGCGCTATCCAACGTTTGAACAACCAGGACCAGAGCTTTAGAGTGACAGTCCCCCAAAAGTAATGAAATTTGTACATTTTCAGTCATTACTGATGTTTATCTCCTCAGGTAAAGCTAATATTTATTTCCTTTACGAAAGGTTACTAGGTTATAATTGGCTAGATTTTTTACTCTAATTTTGATGTTATGGCTTTGCCCAAGACAACAGACAAAAGATAATATTTTATTTGGGGTCTTATACCAGCTGGTACTTCAACGGTTTTCCAAACAATCTTCTATCATAATGTTAGGCCACCTATTACACTATACATATCAAGGTATTATAAATAGCTCCGAATACAACCAATCCACACCCCCACCCCCAGCCTTGCTACCTCACCAGGCCACCCCTATTTTAGACTTCATCTTGCTGTTGGGTTAAGTACAAAGAGTTGACCTGAACACATGTACTGTAATACTGGTCCATTTGTGGACTCAGCAGAAACTGATCCAAAACTTTCTGATGACATTTATGCTCTCCAATCCCTTTTTGCTGATTAAAACAGTTGCAAGTTCCTTGCCCAAAATTCCAGTTATATATATGATAAAGTTTATTTAGTCATTTGAAAATCCATCCACAGGGATTTGAAGAATATGAACCTGACTCTGCTCATCACAGGTTTCGGAGAAATGTTTATGCCATGTCTGGTAGGTTTCGCCCATGTCAGTTGTTTGTGTATGGCATATTTCAAATCTTAGCTTATCTGACTCTCAGTTCAGCCACACCACATCCATTTCTGTTGGAAATTGTCCACACATAGTATGAACTAAGCAAAGAAATAAGACTTTCCCTGGAATTTTCTGGTCAACTTATACCTGTTTATGGGGGTTTTCTTGTCTGGCCTGTTCTACTTTTTTCCCTCTACACATAGTTTAAAGTAAAGAACAGAAATCCCAAAACAAACTGGCTCTCTTTTTCCTAAGCTCTTTGTTAGCTCTATCTCAGCTCTCTAATAAATAATTTATTAATTTGCTATAGTGCCTTTTTAACGTAAAAGTGATCAAAAGCACTTTGCTTTGTCTATGTATTAGTTAAAACTAGATCTATGATAGATATAACCAATTAAAAGGGTAAAAATACAAATCATAAAAAACAACATAAATTAAATGAAAAAGTTAAAAAAAATATTTTAAAACTATGTAAAAGCTAATCTGAAAAAAGTCTTGACAAGTCTCTTTAAAAGCGGCTAATGATTGGATATCACGGATATGCGCCGGAAGGCTGTTCCAGAATTTAGGGGTTAGAAAACGATCTAGTGCCTAAAGTTGCTAGCATGCAACCCTTAGGAAACAGCTCTCCTGGCTTTATGAATGGATAAAAAATCTATGAACACATTACAGTGTGGACACTCGAACTGGGACACCTGGAAAAAGATTGTCTAAATCAAGATGTTTTCTGAAAACAAAGGATTCTCAATATATGTACGTTTTTTGCAAAACTTAAAAGCATTTGAACTTACTTGACTTACTCTGAAAACATGTCTCAAATTTATGAAATTTTATTGGCTCATTTCCAAACAAACTTGGGAATCATTTGTTTTCACAAAACATTGTGATTGGACAATCTTCCATGTATCCTGGCTTGACTGTCTGCGCTGTAATATTACAAATGAAAGTTCTGCCAGCTTAGTTTTCTTGATTGTCAAGAAAACTAAGCTGGCAGAACTTTCATGATATTACTTCTATGAATACTCAGATTCAAATAGCTTATTGGCAACTACCAAAAAAGGATACAACTTTGAAAATATAATGAATTCATTATTAGAATCCATGTGGTTACTCTTAACCTGGTTTTACTATAAAGAGCAAAAAATAATGACAGTAGAGAAATATGTTTTTTCTGATGTTTTTTTCATGTTTCTTCTTCACAGATAAACCTCAACCTTCATCAGAGTACCCTGTTGTGCTGTTCTCTGGCACAGATTATGACAGCATCTCAAGTAATGGTTATTACACACGACTGAAAGAGGATGAGTACATTGTGTGGGGAAGAACTGTGGCTGATGCGAAACGGGACTTTCGTTATCGATCATTGATAGTTATGCCTGGAAGGCAGCTTAGGTTTAAAGGTACAGTACATTGCAGTAGCGCCTTAGTGCAGGCACCTTTTTAGTTCACAACACGATCTTCTCCAACAAGTGTTTATAGAGGAGGATTGGTTTGATGTCAAACTGAAAGAATATCTTCAAAGAGGCAGCGTACATACAAGTCATGAAAGACCAGTAAAGTGATGAAATTTAAGAATTGTTTCATTTTCCAGGCCTGTAAATTCATGGAATTTTACTTCAATCCTGGACAGTCATGGAAAATTAAAGTTATGTTTGAAGGATTACAGTAGTTACTGCAGATGTCAAACTAAGGACAACAATAGATAGACAAAAGTAATAATATTAATAACAAAGCAGGAATAGTATGCATTTTAGTGGACACCAGAATTAGTGTCTGTTGAACTGGGTCAGGTGAAAAATACCTTTAAACAAGGAGAAAGTTTTTTACATGCTTAACATAGAAGGTCATAGAAAACTTGGAAATTCATAGGATATGAAGTGCTTAAAAGAGTATGAACCCTTAAGAATGGTGACATTATGGTGGATTCCAGGGAAGGCCAAACTATTCATGAGCACCATTCACCATTGAACTTCATACAAATGTCAATTGAATATTCAGCCATGTTAGGCTATCACATATGAAAAATTAAATAGGAAGCTCATCAGCAATAATATTTATTTTTTATTACCATTTTGAAGTTTCTTCAAGACATCCAATTATATGGATGAAAAAACTTCTTAGTTGTGGGCAAAATTTATGAATCAAGCAAACATGAAACAAGTATTCTAAGACATTTGTGTATGTTAGCTTTCATTTGTCAAGTTAACTGAAAATAATTAAAACAACATTTAAAGGCAACTTGAAAGTTGGTTCAAGCATTGAGTCGACCGATCTTGTCATGGTATGATGGCAATAAAACATTAAACCAAATGTCTGTGAGATTTCCCTCCTAGCAGAGGTCTCTCACAGCAACCGAGAAGAAGGAGAGGAAAGAGATAGACCTCTGCGCAGGCCTCCAATGCATTTTCTATCACTGATGCACTAGTGTTTTCAAAACCAGTACTGAAGTTTTGGCCACAAATGTGGTCAATTTGGCAGCTACATGAATGGTCGCGTCAGTGGCTAGTAGTGGTCTTTCTTTTCTGTCATTTTTTTCTTGCTGTGAGAGACCTCTGCTAGCAGGGAACTGTTACATCTGATGCAGGGCTAAGATTTCAAGTTGCCAGGTACACATCAGGAAGGGGTAAATCTCCCATCAGCTAGGGATTTCCTTAGGTTCTTTTTTCTACTTTTTTCATGAAAGTAGCCAGGAGTTACCTTCATAATCACCGGAGGAAATCTCTGGCACCAGTCCCTTAATGACAGCCTTGTGATGCTAGAAAAAATGGTTTAAAAAGGAGTCAAATCAATTAATAATTATTATGTCCTTAAATTATTATTTCTTACTTTTATTACACATGTAGGTGCCTTTACAAGTGGAAACAAATTTTTGTCCTCCATTAACAACATTACTAACATTAGCAATGTTCACTTGTGGATGTTTGATAACCAAGATGTTGGTGGATCCTCAGGGATCTGGTATACACAGTGGCTTCACTGGGAGATGGGGTTTGCCGTTAAGGTGGAGCCATGCTCAAATTGTTCAGCCCCAGACTGTGGGGGAAGAACTTGTTATTTTGGCACTTGTGGTGCTGATAGAAACTGCCAATGCATAAGGGGATACTCAGGAACCAACTGTACAAACAGTAAGTTCACTAAATTGATATAATATGTTGTTACAGGGTTCATACAGGTCATGGAAAACCTGGAAAGTCATTAAATTTAACATTTTTAATTGTCGTTCCTGGAAAGTTTTGAAAAATTTTAGTTATGATAATGTTACTTTGGTAGATTAATGATGCTAAAGCAACGGCAATGTGAGATACGACAAGTACATGTCATTAAACAATGTGAACGGCGCACAATTTGGTGGACATAAGAGTTTTTGTTGAACTGAGTTAGGTCTCACTTTTGAAAATTTTTGAAAGTGAGAGCTTATAATAATAAATTTATTAATAAATTTATTAAAGTTGAGGTCATGGAAAAGTTGTTGACAAATGTCATGGAAAAGTCATGGTAATTCATGGAATTTGAAGAGTTAAAAAAATAAACCCTGCGTTAGGTTTTGTGCATTTCCATGCCCTTACTGCTATTTAGTTATTGTCCATCATAATTATTGTTTTCACTGGCATAATCGCCCAAGAACAGTCACTTTGCAAAAATGATGATGGTAGTATCATCTTAACCTTGGACAGTGTTTACAGAGGTACAATAAATCTGCTTAATACTGTAGCCTCCCACATACAGTACAGGCTTCCCTGTGGTGCAGACGGACGGGTGTACAGTGATTGTGGGTGTATGTGATTACCAAAATTTCTTGTATTGATAGATTACTTATGAAATTTTCTTAGGCATGGGGCTCTGTTTGTTCATGCAAAGCGCATGCTACCGCACACCTTGCTACCTAATGATAAATCATCATTACAAAGATTTTCAATGCATAAATAATATTTTAAGGACTCCAGTTGACTGTGTGTAAAGATACCGGTAGCTTTATTTAGTATATCGTAAATGCAGACGAAATTACAACATGGTCAATAGTGCAAAAAGTACTTGGTTTTCAATAAAAAAGAACCAAGATGTTGTTTTCCTTCTGTATAAAGTAAGTTTTAACAAAATCTTAAGATACTTACCTCATCTAATAATTATTGCATTAATATATCTTTGACTGACTTTTTTTAACAGGACCATCAGACTTCAGTATGTACCCATCAATTCAATACCCACTTATCCTGTTTCCAAATGCATACTATGCAGGAACTCCAAAGAAAGTTGCACCAGACACATTCGAAGTTTTTGCTCAAAACAGCCAAAGCCAGCTTGTGTATTCATACAAATCCATGCGTGTTCTGTTTAGAAGGAAGGTCACCTTCTCACGTGTTGACCACAACCAGAATTACGAGATTCCCATTGGTGGAGACATAGAAGATATTTCCTCCTTCATGACCATGAATGAAGAAATTGGAGATGATTTGTGGATAAACTTTTCACCTGCAATTGACCTTAGCTTTGCTGTAAAAGTGGAAGACATTCCTGCCTGTACTAACTGTAATGAAACTGGGGGTTCTTGTTTTACTGGCAGTTGTGTTTGTCTTCCTGGCTATACTGGAGTCAACTGCGATAGCTATATCTGATCATAAGTGCCTTACAGGAGTGCACGATCAGAATGTCACATGTAATTATTAATTAAACTGCTTAATCAAATACCATAAATTGGACAACAGTCATGTTGTTTTCAGATTTACAGTAGAGGAACTTTCCACAACGTTGTTGTTTTTAGTTTTACCAAAATTTGACTAAAATTCTCATTTTCTCTTCATTCTCTACATTTTTGTACATTATTTTTTATTTCCAAGTTTCCTTTTGCCAGGTTTTTATAGCATTGTTTTTTAAGGTTCTTTTCTTATCACAAAAGTAAAAATAAAAGAAAAGAAGCATCACTTTCAAATTGTAGACACAGAGTTTTTTTAGCTTGCTTGGATAATTTTTATTTTTGTATTCTAAATATTATGGGTGAACAGAATGCAATAATTGAAGTAGCTTAATGTGGCATTTTTTTTAGTAGACAGTCGTGAAGCAAAGGTTAATAACCTATACTGCAGTTTCAGACACCTCTTAATATCGGTTTTGTACAGCATTCAACTCATGCATGTAAAAATATTTATTTATGGTGTATACTTTATAAATGCACATGGTTGTAAATACACATTTTTGTACGTCATGTTTTACTGTCTAGTGGAAAAGAAAAAGTTTCTTTGTACCATTTTAATAAAATTAATGTTTTCAGTTAAGATACGATTCTATGCAATCATGGTTATTTACAGGAGTGGTGTCTCCTAGTATGCAGATGTTTGTCATCATGAGACGCTCCTACCCCCAAAACCCCCATAAAGGTAGAGGAGGAGCATTGAATGGTGACACAAAAAACAGCTGCAAAGGAGACCACACCAGTAGCCTACGTGTAGCCACACCCTTCCCCCGACAAAGGGGGGAGGGTGTGGCTACACATGGGCTAGCCTTTTGTAGACGCTCCCTCTCTCCGTTTTTCCTTTGAAGGGGGAAGGGTGCGGTTACACGTAGGCTACCACACCAGCTACACAAGTGGATGCAACAGTTCAAACGACCGTTTTACAGTTGTGGGCTTTATAGTATCCTAGCTTTTGAGCGAATGCAAGGCTGAAGTTGACCTTGTACTGATACAGACCTCCTTCCTTTTCTTATGGAAATTATGCTTATAAAAGACTAGTTAGCATAAGAACATCACGATTTGCATAATAAAGCAGGAGGTGCTGTATCAAAACAAGGTCAACTCCAGTCTCGTTTCCTTCTGTAAAATGGGCTTTTTGATTTCAGGTTAATTTTGATTGAACACAGGTAGACTCTCACTTCCGTTTGTCTCCTAACCTTAGAAGATTTGTAAAGGAACAAGAACGCTCTTACAGCGGCGATCAGTCTCGCTTGCTTGGAGATTAGATCGAGAAATGAGGCGATTAATTCTATTCGAAACAGGATTTACTCGCTAAAGGTTTTTTACTCCCTACTTCGGGATATTTCCTTTTTATTTGTTTCAAAATTGATTTAGTACGCGTGTTAGCGACGACCGGAAATACGTCTGCAGTCGCAGGCTACCAAAAAGGTCATTTTCCACACCCGTGTTGACAGACCATCAGACCTCTAAAGTAAAAACTCTAATACCTGTTTTCAGACCTGGCCTTTAGGCAGAAATTATGTCATCATTACTTAGATTAGAGCGCAAACCAAAAAAAATATTTCAAATCCATTTCGAATTCGCATATTTCTCTTTCTTTCTTACTCATTTGGAATTGAAACAATAAATACGTTCACACACTCCCTTAGTTCCCTCGAAAACTATACTCGATTCCAGACCAAAATGGGCAAAGTGTATACCCGTTTTCAGACCAAAAAGACCCAAAAACCATACCCTTTGGGGCAGCACATGGGCACATACCTATATGGCTAAAATAAGGAGTACCCCCCGGGGGTTTCTTGCTATTCTGTTCAAAAGCATTTTCTCGGATAATTTTCTCTATTCGCCACTTGCGCATCAGTCCCAAAATGCCCCTTGTTTGTACCCCAAAATTTTGCTTAAGCAGCGCTATCATTTTCTCTTGGACCTCTTGGGACGGCTGAAATGAAAACAAAGGTTATATACACAATTTTGGGGGAAAACAAGGTGTATTATGGGAGACGTGCAAATGGGGACTAGTTCTTATACTGAGTTTACAGACCATCAAATCATTACATTGCATGCAAGAAGAATTAAACTGAAGTTGCTTTTTAAGCGTTCATACTGTGAATTTTAACTTTGCACTAACCCCAGGGGGTGGGGGGAGTGCACTCCCTTATAAGCCATATGTGCCGCCCCGCGGCCGAAGGGTATAAGTTTTGCGCCGTTTTGGCCTGAAAACTGGTGTAGCCTTCGCTCATCTGGTCTGGAATTGGGGTTGGTTTTCGAGGGAACTACGGGGGTGTAGGAACGTTTTTATCTCCAAGTGAGTAAGAAAGAAAGAGAAATACGCCTGCGAATTCCTATTTTTTTGTTGTTCTTTAGAAGTAATGAAACTGATTTGCTGCCGTTGTTATCGTTGAACAAGGTGAAAGCATCATCAACATATCGGAACCAGAGGGACACCCATTAACGACGGTTTCCTCCAACATTTCCAAGGGCATTGAAAAAACTTTTTAGTCTGTACAGAGTATCTTGAGATCACTGCAAATGCATTCTAAGCGGCGATATAAAGTTTGTACCTGTTCGGTCATCCTAAGGCAACTTTCGAAATTACAAGGGGTTCTGCGTGATTAAATTCCCGAAAATTTTAGATGCAATTTAAAGCTTCACGAAGGTTAGCATTTTTCTGATTCCTCTCTCCATCAAATGTTTGAATCTGAAAATTTTAGGTTTCTCTTTTTATCTACGAAAAATAGCTTAACCTGGGGAGTGAAATGTGAAAAATAAAACTTCAGAAAATTGTAGGGAATTAGTATTAGGATAAGCTTCGAGAATTGTGCAAGAATGGAACTGTCATCTAGAACTTTTTAGCCGCTTCCAAATAGAAAATTCTAGGCAATATGTCAAACAGTCAAGCCGTTCTTCTAGAAAAGATTTATTGAAGAAACTGGTGTGAAAAATGACATGGTTTGGAGAACCGGGCGGCACACCCCCACCAAGAATTCCCAGGAGTACACCCCGGGGGCATTAACCCCGGTCTGTGGCCGAGCAACTGCGAGAGGGACTAAAACCGACTAAAACGAGTATAAATGGCAAGATGGCGTCAACATTCAGGCAAGGCTCGGAGACGGCAGAGAACTCTTTGGCAAATCATTGGGGACAGCTGATCTTTACCCACGACAGTAAACCCCCTGTTTTAATCAGCAAAGAGGTTGTAAGATTAGGACGAAAGGAAGGTTAGAAAGACCAAAGATTGTGCACAGATTTAAGCTTATATGCAGTCATGTAAGCTGGCTCACAATTTTTACTTGAATGCTTTGAAAAAGCTAAGTCTTATAATTTGTTACGTATTTGACAGATTGTGATATCAGTTTTGCTGGATGTAAATTTGTATCTGGTCATCACTGCAGTTTGTCAAGAGATCCTGATGGTAAAATCTGGATTGAGGACGTCAGGTATAGACGTATATAATTCCCTGCCAGCGCTCTAATCAGGTCGCTTTTCCTTCCGGGTGAAGAAAGGTCCCCCTCTTTGGACCAGGTCCATGGACCGCTTTCATGGACCGGGTCCATGGACGCCCTGTCATGGACCAGGTCCATGGACAGTTTTTTTTTATTTTAATAAGGTTTTGCACCAGGTCCATGGGCACTCAAAAACAGAAATAGTGCCAAAAAAAGATTTGACGAGATACTGTCAACCAATGCTCACGATTGATCACAAATATTTAGTTGTGCATGACGTACACTCTGCCTGCACATGTGCAGGCGCAAGACTGTTAAATTAAGCTAATTTGAAAGTTATCACCAAGAGAGGAATTACGCGCTCCAGTCCAAAGACTCGTATCACCCTTAGAAAAATAAGCTGGAGTTAAGAATTCATTGCTTTTAGAGCAATCATGACTGAGTCACATCGCAATTCTCCATAGTTGATGTAGCTTCAGTTTAAGCAACAATCCAATGCCACTTCTTCTTCTTCGAGATCTGGATCTGTAAATCACTATCCATGAGAATTTATAATCATCCTGCTAAAAGAGCTAAGGAGCCTTTTAATCAGCTGCAATGAACAGCTTTACATTTTAAAAGAGGTAGAAAATCAATATGTGTCACGACCTCTCAGTATGAAATAAGCGGCAAAAATTCACATTTGCTCAGTCAAAAGGTTTTCCTCCGAAGCATAATCTACCCATCAGAGAAAACAATTCATTGGAACAGGCAGCATTTTGGCATGAGGTACCNCCCCCCCCCCCCCGCCCTTTTTTACACTATGTAAGCTCAATTATAAACATTACTGATCAATCGAGCATTGTTTGTTGTTGTTGTTGTTTTTTAACCTTATTTTTACACTATTTCTGTTTCTGTTCATTTCTCATTATTAAAAAAAAACTGTCCATGGACCTGGTCCATGACAGGGGGTCCATGGACCCAGTCCATGAAAGTGGTCCATGGACCCAGTCCAAAGTGGGGGTCTATGGACCCCTGGTCCATGCTTTGTCCTCACCCAAAAGAAACAGCTAGTCCACTTAAAATAGCCACAGAATTTCTTTTTCTGAAAAATGCCCAAAGAAAAAATTGTAAATAGTTTTAAATAAATGTAATTAATAAATAGCTAAGCCTATCTACAAAATTAATTATGTTGGTGTTTCTTTTAGCACCAATGGGTCTTTGCTGAATGGAAAGAAAATTACAAAAAATGAGGTAAAAAGAATTTGTGTCACTAATTCAATGACTGTTTCTGTTAAGTCAATATTGTCATTCCAAGCTGTCACTTAAATTTTATGTTGCTAGGTCCATGCAAAAATGATGCAGTGGGGTTTATTTTTCTTTTGTTTCCAAGATAGAATAGAGGGATCATGTTCATATGGAATCCCTGGCCCCTGGCCCGAATTAGTGACAGCCTTATATTAGTCATTATTTATGCAGTTTATACATTAAAACAGAAACAAACTTTTTAAATACAGAAAATACAGATCTCGCACAATGATCAAGTGCAAATAGTTCATCGCAAGGACCCTGGAAGTGGTAGGTGTCTTTCAACATTTGTTTTGAAATTGTTAATAAATTAATTCTATAAAGCTGTGACCACAGCTTTTAATTCTTGTAACATTTTTTGCAGACATTGCATTTGTGTTTCAAGACCTGAAGTTCTTGAGGGAGGAGGCTGCACTTCTAGACAATACTTTAGAATATCAAATTGATACAGGTTTGCACTGTTAATTAATTTACAGGTTATATTAATTTCTCAAAGTTCATGTGTCTTCAAAACAGCAAGAAATACACAAATCTGACACTTTGAGACTCTTATCTTGAAATTAATCATAATACCACCAGATTTTCAAGACCTGATCAAAATTTTCTCTTAAGGTATATGAATTTTAAGGTACTAATATTAAGAATGTTCTTCATGGTAACCTGAGATCAGGCTCTATTTTTGTTTCACTTTGAAAATAATATTCCAGTGGGCAAGGCAAAGGGTAGCCATTAGAGAGAATGTGTGAGAACCGCTAAAATTGGGCCTGATCTCAGGTTACTCCATGGGGGCCTGTCAGCTGTTGTGACTTACTACTTTGATTGATGAGCTTTTTTTAATTTCCTTGTGGTCAGAAATGCCGATAATTATCTTGAAGAATGAAGAGAAAAAAGTTTTGCTAAAGGAAAACACTTATAGCAGTTTACTGAAAAGAAGCTGAAAAATAATTTGTAATGTCTTTTAATGCGTTATTATTTTACTGGTTATTTGTTTCTGTTGTAGAAGAGGATAATTCAGATGATGAAGAGATTTATCATCGAGAAAAAAGATCCCATAGTGAGGTACATAGTATTATGTTTCTAAGAAACAGCAGTTAAAACAACATCTGATTATTATTCATATGTTATAGGAGCTGTAGATCACTAATTAACAATTATTTCATGAGTACATGTTGGATATGAGGTGGTAGATAGCCAAGGAAGAACATAGCGCCGAGTTGCCTATAATCATCTCATATCCAACAAGCGCAAGTGGAATAATTGTTTTATTTAAAATGCCCACAAAATATCGAGAATTCTTTCCAACTTTATTTGTAAGAACAACTGATTTTCAGCTTGTTTTTAATTTTGAACAAACATGTACAGTTACCAGGGAGAGCATGGTATAATGGCTCATATACCATGATGGCTGAGCCAATCAGAGCTCTAGAACTGCATTATCCAATGATTCAGTTTTTAATCATTAGTAACAGACCTCCTGCAGTTTTTCCTGCAAATGAATAATTCAATAAATAAATGAATAATTCATTGTTTAATTATTAAACAAGCAAACAAATCATATGAAAAAGGACCTCTTTTGTGGTTCAGTTTTGTCTTTGGTTTGGCAAAGACATCTATTCACTGTGTAAGGCAATTAAGAAAATCAAACAAAATTATCTCAATACGATGTTGGAGAGAACATTAACCAAGGCTGGTTTGAACCACCAGAAAGGCTGGGACATGCCTGATTTGTATGTTTCCTGATTCTGATGGGAGGTGGCCATGGGTAGGGACTAAGCACTCAAAAATGAAGACATGTAGCCTTTTTTCACCTGAGCCCCAGTTCCCAAGGTCAAGGTCACTCTGTGATCTTGCTGGCGGTTTTCGCTGAGTATAAGGTGATTCAGTGAGCAAGATGGACAGTTACTATGCTGTTGGTATATATGGACAGTTGTCTACACTATCTACTGTTGCTATGCTCTTGTTAAGAAGAATTTTGTTTTAAATTGATTTTGTCCTTGGTTTGAAATTTGTTTTCCTTGCTTCTGATTCATTACCCCAAAACAAAGAAAAATAAAATTTAATGCATGGATAAAATTGAACCAGTGCTCGGTAGGATGATGTGAAAAAGTTTCACCAATCTTCATAATAAATTATGTTGTTGTCCTAGTTTTCTAACCTTCATAATTATACATTTATACTCTGTATTTAATTAGCATCAACTAAATTTTAAAACTCAGAGCAAGAATTTCAAACACATTGAATATTTGGTTTAAGAAGCTCAAACTTCAACAGCAATGTAAAATGAGGTTACATAACAGATTAAAGATTGTTATGTATTCTCTGCAGAGGATTGCAAATGGCTGATGCAATAGGTGTACAGGTTGTTGTAATCAAATCAAATCAAATCACTGGTTTTAATATTCCATTATTTTTCTGTCATTTCCTGCTATTTCTTCTCACACTTTGCTTCTTGCCAACTACAGTGTACTAGCACCAGTCAGAGCATTTGATAGCTTTATCTCACTGTTATTTTTCCTTTTCATTCAGGTCAGTGATACTGATGATGGTCCAAAGGCAAAGAAGAAACATGCAGAGGTAGCAGGCACGTCTGATGACAAGAAACCAGCTGACTTAGTAACTCATAATTCCATTGCAGAAACACTTGTATGTAGCATCTGTCAGGTGAGATGGGAAGATTCATCAGATTCTTAAAAAGAGCTCCATGAACTGATAGATTTTTAAATATCCAATGTAGATTTCTTTTGGTATAGTGCACTGGAACATCCATTTGTCCACAGGAAGCCAAGCTATGACAGCGCTTTTGGAAGCATTGCCAATCAGTGTACATTTATTCATTTTAGCTTGAAACGTTTAACAAGACCTGCAAGCAGTTACAAGCAAAGCTACATTTTGTATCATCTCAAAGTTTTTAGAAAAAATGTGGTTTTTAAGGTGGTGCAGTGATTATAAAGTGACTTTATTAAAAGCTTGTTTTGCACAAATACGTAAATACCGATCCATCACAAAGCAAATTTGCAACAGTCTACAGGTGGCAGAGGTAAAAATTTGTTTGCATGTTAGTCACGGTTAATCTTTACCATTGATTCTTGAAATCGCTCAAGAATTTTGGCAATGATACTTTTAGTTTTTAGGCCATCACGCAGACGCTATGAGAATTGTTTAGCCTGTGACGGGTTTTCGTCACTCATAAGAGGGTGGTGACCTACCTTTAGAGCAGTATACTGTCATATACACGCTGTACCGTAAATGATCTACAGTGTAATAGACATTAGAGGCATCTATTTGATTTTAGGAACCCAAGCAAGGGTGTTTATTAGATATGTGTAGGAGGTAGCATTTAAAAGGAAAGGGAGATAGGGAGCATTTTTAAAGAGGGGCATCTAATACAAACTTAAAAGCGTAAAAGGGCATTTATTTAGACATGAGATGTTTATTTTTTAAGAGAACGTAAATTACATTTTATCTTTTCACCTGCCCTTAGGGCTAATAACTTTGATTTTTTCCCAAATATTACAGGATATCTTCTATGACTGTGTGAGGTAGGTTGACTGGCCTGGCTAGCTGTCTTAATATTTTTTTTCCAATGCTTGAAGTTCCAATATTGAACAAAGGAACAAATGGAAAAATCTTCAATGGTTAGCTTTTGTTGGGAGGGCAAGATCTGCATTTTTTCTTTGTACTCCTCAAAAAAAGGATGCTGAACTAGTCCAAGTAGATTAAAAATGTCTTAGTCTGCAAATGTACATGTAGGTAATCTAGAGATTTTTTACCCTTAAAATAGTTATTTAAGAGAAACAATAGTTTGTCAAAAACTGTTTATTTTACCTTCCACAATGATGATAGACACACTTTTTTTGGAGGGTGTAAAGGCTTATTTCTGTTTTGAATTTGGTTTGTTTTATTTCTATTTTTTGCAGTCTGCAGCCCTGTATTCATTCATTTTGTGCAGCATGTTATTCACAGTGGATGGATAGATCCAGTGATTGTCCCAGTGTAAGACACAAGTTGCCAGTTAACATGATGTGTACAGTGTAATTCTACAAAGGCAGTAGCGGTTGCATTGTTAAAATTTCTTATTTGCATGGAAATTTCATTACAGGTTTCTTCCAGTGTTGATAATACATGTGTACATGTACATTTAGAAGGAGGTTCTGGAATAAGGCTCTCTTTAACTTTTGATAAAATGCGAGATTCTCCTTCCAATTGCCTTGTATAATGTTCTTGATAATCAAAGAATCTTGTACAAATGTACTACACAAACAGTCACTTTAAGTCATGTACCCCATTCTTTTTGTTTCTGGGTCACCAATCCCACAAGTACAGTGTGCCCCTTTCATAAAACAAAATTTCCCAAAGGCTACAGATAGACTGTATTTGCACAAAGGATCAGAAAGTGTATTTAGTCTTATGCAGCTCCAGTAATTTAATAGCAGTTGGTCACTGGACAAAGGCAGACCACATCCAATGAAATCTCAATCATTATAGTCACACATTTTGTCTGCCATGGTGTATTGTGATTGGTTGCAGGTCCTGTACATGTCCCCTCCCCAACCCTCTCTCTGCAAACACTGATTTGGCAGGAATTAAACAAAATTTATTAAACATAAAGCATTTTATGTTCATGGGACAATTATGTTTTTATTAAAACATGAATTAACTAACTAAGAGATGCAAGTATGCTGTCATTTATCTGACCTGACTTTTTTTTGTTTTGCAGTGTAGGAAAAAAGTTGAAAGAATAAGTAAAAATCACATTGTCAATAATCTTGTAGAAGCATTTCTTAGAGAACACCCAGGTTAGTTTACTTCATTATCTTTTGCTATTACATTCATCTTTATTTGATAGATTCTTTTGTAAAGAAAAACAAAATATTTTACGTTATTTTAAGTCAGACTTGTAGCATTAATACTTAGCATTAGTCCATATGTTATCTCTCTTGCATACTGAGAAAGTTTACATTCAAGCACTAAATTATTCTCAAAAGAATATATAAACAATAACTAATTATGAGAACTTGACAAGTCTTTAACCTTTATCTTAGTCCTAGACTTTATTTTAGCCTAAATCACATTTCTATTACTTTATAAAACACTGTAATTATTGATTTTATATTTCCTTATTTATTTAGACTTTCAGTGCATTAAAACTACACATACTTGTTTTGTTCTACTCACCTAGATAAGCCCTGCTTTTTGCGAGTTAAGAGCAGTTTTGTAAATTTCTTTTAAAAATACTGAAATAAACTTGAAACTTGAATATGTCCCTCTCTAATCATCTTCAACAGAAAGACAGCGGCCAGAAGAGGAACTTAGAGAGATGGATTCTAAAAACAAAATAACAGAAGATATGGTGGGTTCATTGCATGCTTACAGTCTGAATAATCATTATGTTACATCTATTTTACTAACAATATTATTATGTCTGTTGAGATTTCATAATAGTTAGGCATTGTTGGTATTGCATGTATATTTTTTTGGCATGAAACTTTAACCATATGTATATGTAAAATTCTCCTTGGAGGGTCGCCAATAGGGTTATTTTATACCGTCTTGAACCCAACTCAAAGTTTTGCTTTTGATGGCTACATGTATTTTTGGCATTCAGCATCCCGTGCAGTACAATGTACTTTCAATCCTGAAACTCTTCAGGGCCTTTAAATAATGCAAATTCCAAATCCTGAAGAAGACTTATTGGGGGTCCACCTTCTCCTTGATCTGCATATCAATTTTTTGCATCAAATTTACAGGTATAATGACAGCTGAATTCAATAATAATAATTGCTAATTGATGACTGTTGATTTAATTTCTCTCGTACTTTTTATAAGCAAGTCCTGTTAATGCGTCAGCAATTCAAATGAGAAATTTACCAGATCTCACTTTTATGGAGTTTGTTTCCACTTTGCACAATTATTTTGTGTTAATTGTGCCAACTATTTTTGACAGTTTATTCTGCACTTCTTGACTTTATGAGAGTGTACATTGTTTTTATCCAGTTTATTCACTTTTATTCATCAAAGAAGTTATGCATAGTTTTAGTAATCACAGTGACTCCATTAGTGCAAAAATATTTACACTGTATTTGTTCACTAAACAGAACAACCTATTGAAACTTTGCCCCAATTCCAATATCTTATTTCTTAATTGTTAATTGTAGCTTAGACCAAAGCTTAGGAGAAGGTCGGGTTTATTTGGATTTGTTGATGATGATGATGATGATGATGATGATGATGATGGGGATGAAGATGATGATGATGATGATGAAGATGATGAAAGTGAAGACACAGATGAAGCAGAGCCTTGGGGGTAGGAAACAGTAAAGTTTCATACAGTCAAATCCCATGATAATTATATAGATTTAGACAAGGCTTAGGGCAGAGCTCCCATTAATGAAAAAAACATAGCAACAAAGAAATCCAATAATTAGAGTTGAGCTTGCGATCAGTTGAAAACAAGAAACTTGTTAGTGGTAAACTTAAAAAAACATGTACCAGTAACCTTGAGGGGTCGACTGAGCCCACAGTATGGTCCGTGATACTGGTCAGCAGATACCCTGTTTTGACAGCTGCCAATTGACTACGACAAGGATGTGCAATATCAGGTGGCAGGCTACCACACTAGCTAGAAAGTGTACCATTTCACATTGGTTGCCCTGTGGTGGAGTTGGGCAGATGGACATATGGTCACGTGACTACCAAAATTTTCTTGGATGGATAGGTAACCAAGTGCACAAAAAAAGGACACTGAGGGGGTCATACATGTAGAAAAAGTCCAGGTTAATGGGGTGTCTATAATGAGTAGGTTGGATTTACAGAAAATAGGAAGGCTTTTTCCCAAGAGACAAAGCAAACTGTCTGTAGTAATGAGATGTCCGTAAAGATGGGTTTCACTGTCTTGTAACACAGTTAAGGAAGGCTGACAAGGGCTAAAATATTATTGATTTGTTTATTCATTTATTTATTCATTTTATTGTTTGAGCTTCAGGGTTGTGGCTAAAGTATCAAGTTGCCTTATAAATGCAATTATTGAATTAGTTGGAAGGGGAATTGTACAGTTGGAAGTTCTTTTGGTTCTATTTTCCTTTTGTTTTCTATGAAAGTGGCCGGAGTTCATGCTCATAGTAGCCAGGGAAAATCCCCCCCTACCCCCAGCTCTTATATAGTGGTAGCCCTGAGCTTGCTGTATGAACTTACATTCCTCTATACAACACACTCTGCAAATCCTCAGGCTAGACTCAGGTTTGTCTTTTTTTTCATGATATGAACACGATAGCTTAGTTTGTGACAAAAAAGAAGCTTTTTAAAATATGGAACATAATGTTTTGATTGCTTAAGTACTACGGGTTTTAAAACAATTCATTAGTTCATGGTATTTGTCCCCTCTCCTTCACAAAAACTGCCCGATCATAGGTTTAAATTTACTGTTTTGTAATGTTAGGAGAACTGTGTGCCATTAATGATTTCCAACCTCAACACTGGTTTGTCATGGTTCTGTCGTTGACACATGAAAACAATAATATCTTTACCAATAAATATTATGAATCATCAAATGTTAACTTTATTCATTATTGTACCAAAGGGCCATCTAAGTTAGTCTTTCTTATCCAAACTATTGGTCAAATTGTCAAATTTCTTTTTATGCAGTATCTTCTTCATTTCTGTGATCTAAGGATATAATTATAATTATTTCTAAACACCAAAAACTATTTTTCAGCATGCCCATCACAATGTCTTCAACTTCTTTTGGGGGGCTTTTTGGTTTCTCTTCATCGAGGTTTGTAGCTACAAGAAACCTTCATTTGAAAAATTAATTTTTTCTGTTCATTCATTTACCTGATTATGTCAGGGTTTATATTGTCACCTGAAGAAGGCTTGATTTAAAACCATAATTATTTTTTTCCTTCATTGATATTGTGGTTAAGTTGATCAGGGATTTCATGAATTGCAAAATAATTGATTTTAGAATGACTTTCCAACATCAGTCAGAATAAGAACTTTTCTTGTTTTATTGTATTTTTATCTTTGTACAATCCGGGTCTAAATCCACTTTTAAAAATTTTGCTGGAATTTTGTGTCTTTTGCATTCTTGATTTTTGCATTTAGTAATAGTAATTCAACAATGTTGAGAGGGAAATCAATATGAATAAGTAATACATGCAAATTTTAATAATTGTCATTTAATTATTATTATTTGTGCGTGTACAGTCAACTCTCTTGTACACTGTAGATGGACACTTTTACGACCAGCAACATTACAACAACAACATCATCAGTTTTTTCAGTTTTCAAATAATTTAAGACTATCTTACCCACAATTAGCAGAGCTATTCTACTGTTAGTAATAATAATAATAATAATTAAAAATATTATTTATAACGCGCCTTTTCCATGCAAATATGATCAAAAGCGCGTAACACGTAAATGTTAAAAGAAAATAAAAGCTAAACTGAGCAAAATAATTAAGGCTAAGAATAAACAACGCTAAAAATTAAATGAAGATAAAAATTGCTAAATATATTACATAGTAGGTTAAAAAATTACATATCAAAATCTAGTCTAAAAAGATGCGTTTTAAGTAAAGATTTAAAACGTTCAAAATTGTCCTCAAGACGGATGTTAAGGGGCTGATTGTTCCATAAATAAGGGGCAGCAGATGAAAAAGCACGATCCCCTAAAGTCTTTTTCTGTTTTAAACTAGGATACTTTAAGATAAGACCGCTGGCTGAACGGAGATTATAGCGCGGCTGTTCTTTAATAGCAATCAAATTGATCAAGTAACCAGGCGTGTGACCGTAGATAGCTTTAAAAGTAAAAAGAAGTATTTTAAAATCAATACGAAATTTGACAGGAAGCCAATGTAATGAACATAGTACTGGTGTTATGTGACTGTAGCGAGGGACATTAGATATAAGCCGAGCAGCTGCATTCTGCAAGCGTTGCAGTTTAAGTAGATGAACAGAGGGTAAACCAAATAAAAGGCTGTTGCAGTAATCTATACGACCAATGATAAAAGCATGGACCAAAGTTCGTGCAGACTCCTGGGACAGATATTTTCGGATACGCCGAATATTGTATAAATGGAAAAACCCAGATTTACAAGTTTTGTGGATCTGTTCCTGGAGATTCAAGTTAGAATCGAACCATGTCCCTAAATTTCTTGCCACAGTGACAGGAGCAACGTCAACGCTTCCTACGGTAAGGCAATCAATATTTACTTTGGAAAGTTTTTGTTTTGTACCAATCAACATGAACTCAGTTTTGTCATCATTAAGTTTGAGCTTATCCGTAAGCATCCACGTACGAATGTCCGTTATACAGCGTTCCATGGCAGGACTAAACGACAGGTAAAGCTGAGTGTCATCGGCATAGGCATGAGCTTCAGGTAGATGGTATTTGATGACTTCAAACAGTTTGCTGGAATAAATGGTAAACAACAATGGCCCCAGACACGATCCTTGTGGAACGCCATAAGGAAGCGTAAAACTGTCAGATGTAAAGCCATTTAGCGAGACTCGTTGAGACCTGTTGTCAAGATAAGACGTAAACCAATTAAGGGCGATGCCATTAATGCCGATACTTGACTTAAGACGAGCAAGGAGGATATTGTGGTCAACAGTGTCAAACGCTGCGCTCAAATCGAGGAAAACTAGAAGAGTTACATGCTTGCGATTCATATTCATGAGAATGTCATTTTGTACCTTCAGTAGCGCTGTTTCTGTGCTGTGACCCTTTCGGTAAGCGGATTGCGAGGTTGGATAAAGGGCAAATCGACTCATATGACTGTGAATTTGGTCGAAAACAGCGCGCTCTGTCAATTTTGATATAAAGTCCAAGTTACTGACAGGGCGAAGGTTATTCAACTGCGTCGGGTCTAAGCCAGGTTTCTTAAGGATCGGAGTAACCAGAGCTTCTTTCCACTCCTCCCTCAGAGAAATGGCCGCATGATAGCGAAAGATTTATAATTCGTGAAATAACAGGCAACAGCAGGTCAAGGCAGCCAACAACCAGAGAAGTTGGCGTCGGATCCAACGGGCAGGACTTCTTAGCAGACTTACGGATGAGCGCGGAGACGTCGTTTTCCGAGAGTGGTTGAAAGGAATGAAAAGCATGCGCAGCATCTACTTCCTGATCAGGAGGTAGCGCATTGCGCGCGCTTGGATCGATGTCTACGACGTCAATATCAAAACGAATTCTATCTATCTTTCGAACGAAAAAACCGCCGATGTCATTGGCTAGTTTTGATTTGTCCTGATAATTAGGAAACGAAAACTCCTCTTTCTTAGCAAGGAGTTGTTTGGTTGCTCTGAATAATCTTTTATGGTCTGTGCTATTCTGATCAATAAAGTTAGTGTAAAATGCCTGCCTGGCCTGGTTCATGAGGTACGTCACGTGGTTTCAGTAAGACTTGAAAATATTCAAGTCAGACACAGATCTCGTTCTCCTCCAGGTTCTCTCAGCCTTACGTCTCAAGCGTTTAGCGTCCTTTATCTCGTCGTTGTACCAAGGCACTGCAGGTCTAACTTTCACAGTCTTAGTCTTAAGTGGGGCGTGACAATCAATTACTTTAGAAAGTGTAGTGTTGTATCTGCGTACAAGAGCATCCAGGTCACGTGGATCTTCTGAGTGAAGATGCACTTGCAGATCCGGTGGATCACTACATAACAAGGAGTCAGATAAGTCCCGCTTAAGAGATTCAAGATCGACGGATTTCAGCTTTCTGTAGACAACGTTCTTAGTAGTCATGCAAGTGTACAATAAACAGATGCGTGGTCAGAGATAAAGCAATCAACTACAGGGACCTTATTGAAGATGTCATCGTTGGAACGGGTGATAACGAGATCAAGTGTGTGACCATGAATTTGCGTTGGCTCAGTGATGTGTAGCTGGAGGCCAACAGACTGTAAAAGATCTAGTAGTTTGACTGAATCAGGATCATGGGGGACATCAACGTGAATATTAAAGTCACCAGCAAACACAAGATGCTCTTTGGAGAGAAGTATGGATTTTAGGTAGGTAGAGAACTCCGTGAAGAAATCATTAGTTGAGACTCTGTGATCAGCTGAATAAGGTGGACGATAAAGAAGGACAAGCCGAAGATTGAGCGAAGGTGATGAGATTGTCCATTCGGAGTATTCAAAGGATTCTTTCTCGCCAGTATCAATCCTTCTGACAGATAGCGAATCACGGTATATCAAGGCCACTCCGCCACCACGACGACCAGTACGTGGGCGATCAGAAATTTTGTATCCGACCGGGCTGACCGGGCACAATTCAGCTCGCACAGCAGCGTCGTCAGTAGTCAGCCAAGTCTCAGTGATCGCAACAAGGTCAGCCTTACAGTCGCATATATAATCAAAAAGGTCACCAGTCTTATTTTTAACAGAACGAGCATTTAGCAAGCACAGCGACAAGTGTTTGTCTGCTACAATCGGAGCCAAGGCAGAATAACGACGAACGCTAATTAAATTGCTAATATTCCGCGACGAAGATGACAGTTGAGTTTCATGGTTATGACTACTGCGAGTTGAAACAATCACCGGGATTCCTTTTGGTCCAGGATTCAATTTAAATACCAAATCACCAATTAGCAATGGATGGAACGATGCCGATGTGTTGGAATAATATGCACAAGGACACCTGTAACGCCTGATCCTAGGCCGTCTGAAGAATATAGGATAATTAGCCGGTATATACACCAAACAAGCATTGCTATGATGAGAAGGTGCGATGGTGTTGTTCCAACACCAACAAGACAATGGGTAATCAACAGCAATTCCGTAAGCATTGTTCACAGGCTGGGCCAAGCAACGTAGATTTGTCAGAGTCGGCAATGTAGAGCAAGGTAAAACCGACTTTTTTTCTCCGAATTGCTTGAATCCAAACTCGAAATAACTTCTGCAGAGGTACCGAACTGTGACAAGTTGCTTTAGATATTCTCCGTCAGGATAAAGGCACTGAAGGGGTAGTAGAAAGAGCAAAAAACCGCAGATGGAAACAACACGTCCGTCCTTCATTGTATATTCAGAGTCATATTCAGTGTATATTCATCGATATTCAGAGTCATTCAGAGTCATTAGTGGACAACAATAAAATAGTTGTCTCCAAAAAGAAAGTAACTGTAAGTAAAGAGAAAGCAATTGGAAATAATAATAGTACATGGTAAAACTGTGACAAGTACGACACTAAAATAAAACTATAGATATAAGGAAGGAAATCACTTAAACTGAATAAGGAGTTGAGGTAGGAACTGGTAATGGCACTCATATTAGCCTGTTCCAGGCGTTCAGATAGTAGAGCGCGGCAGTAAGTGGGGAGCGAGTTAAGTTGTACTATCTGAACGCCTGGAACAGGCTATACTCATATAAACATACACCTCCTCAGACTCCAAAGCCTTGACCAGTTATGTATTAGAGAGATGTCCGTCTTACTGAAAGTCAAAAAATGGAGTAAAGAAAGGTAGAGACCAACTCTATGTGTCCGTTTTACACTGGTGTCCGTCTTATAGAGGTGCCTGTTAAGAGAGAGTCAACTGTACATGACAAACTGTATTTCAGTAACAGCTTCTGAATGCTTATTATGGAAAGAGGTTATGACTTATTTCATTTTTAAAACATTACAGGCCCGCTCCCACAAGCTGTAAGCTGTGCCCTGATTACATTTCACCTTCTGTTGCATCTGGTGCCTGTGCTGCCAGCATTGGTGAAAGTGCCAGTAAGTTACCTGAGGTCTCTGAAATATTAACTTGGGAGTTAAGCTTTAGAAAGGTCCACAAATTAAGGAATAATAATATTGATTAATAATATTAAATAACCAAATAATTAATGAAAAATATAAATTGATATTAATGATTTAATTAATTAATTGTAACAACAACAAAATTCTTAAACCTGATTGGCTATCAGCTGTCGTAATTTCAACATTAATAGGACATTGAAATAGGACAGTATGTGTCATGTCTAAGTAACTGGACAGTATGTGCTATTACATGTGTGCACTTGAATGGTATTTAAATTTTTTCATTGTGATTATAGGCTGAATTGAACTCCACTCAGTCCTATTTCTATTATTAATAACATTATTATATCGGTAATTCTGTAAGAATAGATTATTTAATTTTGGAGGGCAACATAGAAATAACTGCCCAAAATGATGAAATGTACTGTACCGGTGTTTAAAACAACAACAATACCAAGGTCAAAGCCAAAGTCAAAGTCATGTATATTTTCAGTAAATCCTTGGAATAATTTTGTTTACTAGGATGACTAATATTGAATGGTAACTAAATATGAGTCATTTGATTATTTCCATTCGAAGTGAACTAGGCCATCTTGACACACATTCTTTAAGCCCAACCTCAGAATTACGCTATGGCAGAATCTTATATTAACTGTGATTGCCTTTACATGAAATGAACAGCCAGCCTAATCGATATTTTTATTTCCTAAGGTTCTGTTAGCAGTGATATTCATAATTTTCAGTTTATATTTTGGTTCAAGACAGATCCACATGGTCTGATCCAGGTGATTTTATTATCGTTCAACACTTAAAACAATGATACTGTTTTTCAGGTACATCAACGAGCATAACCCTCCCAGACTACACATGTAGTCTAGATCAAGTGCATGTGGTGTGTCATTGCTGTATACAGCTCATGCCATACGACTGGCCTGACTCAATAATAGCAAGCGTACCAGCACAGAAATGTAAGTTTGAGCAACGATTAAGGCATGGCATTAGTTCTGTGTATTTGAGTTAATCAGTTCAATTTTAAACTAAGTATCTTTAGCAAGTCATTTGTTGTCCATCATCGTAGATACTCTAAGAGAAATCATAAATATTTGACCTAGCAACCTCTGCATTGGTAGACCAAGCCCAAACTGTGGTGAAAGATAATAGGGAGTTTACGCAATGACGTTTTGAAGGACTTCTTGCTCTCTGGAGCCATGATTTAGGAAAAGTTTGGGCAAATCATCTCTTTAAGAGTAAAGACACTTAGCAGTGCTTAGTCATGTCAAATCATATTAAAAGAGAAAAAGGCTTATTTCCGGTTGACATGCAATGTTCAAAAACATCGCTGCTTAAACTCCCTGTTAGACTACGAGTAGTCCCCCATTTTTCCTCAGGGATAGTAGAGCGAGCGAAACGCGAGCGCGCGTGAAAATCACCCTACGCGAGAAAAGGCAACACGCGGCTCGCGTGGGGTGATTTTCACGCGCGCTCGCGTTTCGCTCACTCTACTATCCCTGAGGAAAAATGGGAGACTACTCGTAGTCTAACTCCCTGTTGACCAGTGCTGAAGAGTGCTGAGGAGTAAGAGGTTTTTTTCACACTTACATGTATCAAAAAGTAATCGGCTCCTGGTATCATCCATTGCACGTCCTTCTCTGCCCCATCCTGGACATCGCCTTGTTTGAGAGAGGCATGTCTTATTGCAATACTTTACACTGTAAGCCAGAATGTTTGAATATTATTCTTTATTTTTATACAGTATTTTCTTTTTTTTTTCAATTTCGTCAGGTGAAATATGTTCAAAACATTATTGTCATCTTTTATTTGGTTGCCGCAAGGCTGGATGTCTAGGATGCCTCAATAAATTTAAAGGTACACTGATGTATCCTCAATGTTGGTTTCAGATTTCCTGTTTTATGGTACGATTTATTATGAAAAAAACCATTTTAGTTCACGTTAAAATAAGAAAACATTGAGGGTCTCTCTCTCTCTCTCTCTCCTTGGCCTTTCCTTAGAGGAGGGGAGGGGTGGGAGTTGAAGGTACAGCTTTTTTAAAAAACGCTTCTGACTAGAATAGTTATCATAGCCCTTCATGAAAAAGTGCGCTGTCCATACAGTGGCCGATTTTTAAATTGAGTTATTCAAACTGTCCACATTCAATTTGTACCATTTGTATCAGCTATGTTGCTAGCTGGTTCTAATTTTTGGGATTTTTTCAGCCATCCGCAAAAATAAGTGCCCGCAAATAAAAACTTTTTACCACAAAAATTTACTCCAGTGTAATTCGCTACACAAAAATACAGTACTAAGAAATCGTCTGTTAGATTATAACGTGCCTCTTTCGTTCAGAAACAAAGCGGTTTGCAATGAAATACTGGTTTTACATAGTACAAGGTACGCATACAGTAGTTTGTTTAAAAATATGTTTTTCTATTGCACGCACTCAGTGAAAAACGAAATATTATCAATACTTAACCTGAGATCAGGCTCTATTTTCGTTTCGCTTTGAAAATTACATTCCGGCGGGCAAGGCGAAAGGAAAAGAGAGCCCCAATTTTAGTGGTAGCCGTTAGAGAGAATGTATGAGAACCGCTAAAGTTGGGCCTGATCTCAGGTTAATCAATACTGGGTAATGGACACTTTCTGAAAATCGAAAAATTAATTCCGAGCAAGAAAAACCAATCTGTCCTAATCGCAAAAGTTAGTTGCCGCAAAACACAAAAATTGCTAATCCGCAAAAATAAACTCCCGCAAAAATTTCGTGCCGCACGGTATATATTATACTTTGTCCTATTATTTTTGAAGATGTATTTTGTTTTACCAATGTTGGTCAATGTAGAACTGTTTCATTCAGATTGTGACCTTTGAATATGTTCTTGTTTGCTTAATTTATGAGTGGTTAATTCCACTGAGAAAAACACGCTATCTTCGTTGAGAATTAAAGCAAAGCATTCTATTTAATAGAGTTGAAGAGTAAATGAGTTTATTTGGTAGAGGGCATTACTTCGAGTGGATACGTTTGAAGCCTACAATTTTCTGTTAGCACCTTAATCTTAAGCAAAACTGAGGCCTCAAGAAAAAACAATTAAAAATGTTTTTCAAGAGCGCTTGCTACCTGTTATCTCAACGTGTGCACGGCTTTCTCCTCCCCCGCCCCTGTCTGATCTGCTGGTGGCTTTGTCTTAACATTACAACAGATTTTATTCCTACAAGAGCAAATTTTTTATTATTTTAATTTCAAATTCGTTTCAGACTTCAAGGTTGGAGAAACCAATCTTTCATCATTGATAAACAACAACCCTTATGAATCCAGAATACTAAAGGTAAGGACAGATTTCATTCAGGTTTACATTCCAGTAGTTTATATATAAGTGATTAAAAGTTATTATTCTTTAGATCATTGCCAAGAAAAATCTGGTTTGGATAATATAACATAACATTTCACAAAGTTTTTTTTCTAGATTCTTGACCCTTCAAGAATATAAATACAGGGCTGTTTCCTAAGGCCCGGGGATCCGGTGATTTTCCCCGGCTGCTGCATGTGAGCGTTATCCCTGGATACTTTCATAGGAAAAAAATGACAATAGACCCCAGAGAAGTTTCTAGCTTTTCAGTTCCCCGCCTACACGTACTTAATGCATTTACCCGGTAAGGCCAAGTCCTACTGTCATCCCTGTTAATAAGTGGTTTAGTTTAACAAGCTCTAGGCGTGTTTCTTCAGAAATTTGATTCAAATTAGTTTGGAAGATAGGGCTTTGCTTCTTCTCCCATAAGCGATTACCTCACTTAACGCGACAATCTATCCAAACACTATTTTTCCCAGTGAAAACCCTATAATAAGAACCTCTCGTAAGCGAGGGCGACCACCTTTGGGGTGATGATTTATAATGCGACCATTTGACGCACTATGGTTTGCAGTATGTACTACACTACTAAGAGCATACGAAGAGCTTTTAACCATAACATTGAACTACTCGTATCTTGACTGACAAATTGCATGTAAGAAATACTATACTACCAAAAAGTTAATGTCTCGGGACCTCTTCTTGAAAAAGATTCTTGAAGTTTGTTTCCGTGTGGAGCAAGGGTAGCGGAGTGGTGAGAGCACTCGCCTCCCACTAGGGGTGTAACGATCCATATTCCTTGCGATTCAATATTATTCAATTCGATTTCGATTATTGTCTTTCGATTTCGATTATTTCGATTCTATTATGTAAATGTTTCTTAATTCTTATAACATGCAACCCTAAACCCTCAATTTGAGAATAGTAACAGCGACAGGAGGATTCACAGTCGCTTGGTTCGTCGCCATGTTTGAGAACCTGACAAAGATGGTTTGCGTTATTTGGAAATTCTCAAGGGGTGGTTGAAGGACAGCATTTTTACCAGGCAACATAAAATGGCGCACGAACTGCTATCGTCTTTGCTCGTCAATCAAAAACGCACATTTTAAAGAGTTCTGGATTCTGATTTTACAATATAACAACTTCACTGAGGGCACCCTAGAAAAGGTATGCAAAAATCGAAGCAAAATCGAAATGTGGAAACAAAGAATCGTGAATCGAACCGAACGGTCATAATCGCGAATAATCGAGAATTCGATTAATCGTTACACCACTATCTCCCGCCAATGTGGCCAGGGTTCGAATCCCGACGTCGACGCCATATGTGGGTTGAGTTTGTTGTTGGTTCTCTTCTTTGCTCCGTGAGGTTCAGTTTTCTCCGGGTACTCCGGTTTTCCCTTCTCCTCAAAAACCAATACTTTTAAATTCCAAGTCGATCTGGAACGCACGGACATATTTAAACGAGTTCATAAGAACTCCTAAGTGCTTCGTGGGCAAACAAATTACAATTTACGTTTTTTTAATTCTGGTAATCAACCACCTCCCGCAAGCGACCACTAAATATTTTTATTTTGGGTGGTCGCTTTAGAAGGTTTGTTTGTACTAACAATATGCTACATGCTCATCACTGTTAAAGTAGAGAAATGTTATTTTGCTTTTGTGTCAACAGGATTATCTGACAGAGCAAAGCCTTAGCAAAGAAGACTTGGTACAAAAATGCCTTCAAAAGTTGGATGCTAAAGAGTACTCCACCATTGGTAAGATAACATTCACTTCATCTTGGGAGACACCTGTCAAACGGTGCCTGAGTTAGACATGATAACAGCGGCTATGTCAGGCTGTTTGTTGCTTTTTTGCCCAGTTAAATTGTTTCTTCGCGTCAGTTGGGTAACTAAAATAGTTTTATTATTTGAGCCTATATTTAGGTACTAAAACTGTTTCCTGTCGACTATTGCTTTCTATGACAAGAATGGTAATGGATTGTATCTTTAAAAAAATTGGGCAAATTTTATCAAGTTTTAATGCCATGTCTACAAAAATCACTACATGCAAACTCCAACAGCAGACAGTGTAAATATGACTCTTAACAGGAGATTTTTGATTGTATGCTCGATTTTTAGATGGGGCGTCCCACAATCTAACATCCTCCACAGTTCTCTGCTACAGATGTGCACTTCGTAACCTACAGGAGCTCGCGTACCAGTTTCGCCGTGACATTCCGAGGGATCAGTTACCCGGTGAGTCTAAACTGCCTAAAAGGGATTATATTTGCGGACCAAACGAACATCTCCTCTCTAGCCAAACACTAAATTTTTTACCCCTGTTTTCAAACCTTTCGATAATTTGAACCCATTTGCCTTTCGTTAGCCTGATCGCAAGCTCTGTTCCTTGGCGCTCAGGTTGGAGGTGGGGGAGGAAGATAGCCTGTCTACCCCCCTCCCTTGAGGAAAAAAAATCGATTTTTCTTGAGGGGAGGGGGTTCTGTACACAGGCTAGAAAGAGGAGGGATATTGCGCCCGCCTAGATGTATTTCGCTATACTGAATTCCGAAACACGTTTGGAATTGTAAAAAGTTTGTTTCTAAACGGGGCCCTTGAAAACGTTTTTAAAATTCCCTTTTGTCATTCTACTTCAGTTCTTGGAAGTTTATACTAATGCAATAGATGAATACAGGAACGATTCTATTAACTTATAGAATATAGCGAGGTTGCTAAATGTGGCTCAAACGGATTTCAGTGACTTTTGAAGGCAAAAATTGCTACAGCATAAGCATTTTCCTCTTCTATATGAAAACTAGTTAGTTACCAGGTGAGTCATTGCCTGTCTGTTAAATTGCAGATGCTGTGAATTCCCGTGTCGATTGCTACTGGGGAAAAAACTGTCGAACACAAAAGACAAAGCCCCTTCACGCAAGGTAAATCAACAGCAATGGTAAAACACCAGAGTAATACCTCATTCCAAAGTCAAAAGTGGTGGCAATATTTGCCATCACTGTTTTACGGCGTAACTAGGGAATTTAAGATATCACGACAACAACGAGAACGTCTAAAAGCAATCGAGAATTAGCAAAACAACAACTTTACATTTGCAGCACACTTCTTCGTACACTTTTCTTTGCCTTCAGTGCACGACCACCAGGTGGAAGTGTTCTCTCTTAAGATCGTGCTTTGGCCATCTTACTGCAAACGGCAAACCGAGGTTTGTCATTAGCGGTTTCACATTATCCGTCTGCCAATATTTGGGAAAGATTCGGGGCTGGTAGCTCGCGGCTGTCATATTTGTTTTAATCACCAAAAGAATTCTAAAAAGCAGTATTTGCTATTTGTATTCACGACTACGAGACGGTAATTGGTGTGCAGTTCGAACTGTGAGCCTGAGCGTTTATTGCCGTCCGAACAACATAAAAAGTTCATTTAACTAAAGAATGATATACAAATATTCCTAAATAAAGTCACTCAGGCTAAACTAGTCACGTATGCCGCCTGATACGAAGACCCAAAAACCCACTGGGAAAGATAGAGGATATTTGCCTAGTCCCTAGGCCTCATTTTTCCTCGCGGCCAAAGCGTTTTGGGTCACCTGGTCCATGCGAAAACGTGGTCCATGTGAAAATGTTTCCCGCCCGTTCGCCTCGGATACGTCACCGAAACGAATTGACCTAGAGGGACTGGGAAAACGCCGTACAGGGACTAGACAAAGAGGCAGTTACATAGCCGCGCGGGGATATTAATTTTATCTTCAAGTGCTGAAAGGACAAGTGACACTGTGATCGAGTGATCTCGAACGAGTGAGAGATCTTGCTTGAACTGACCGTTTCCATCCTGATTAGGCCAAAGTTTTAAAGAAAGTTTTCGATTAAGAACTTAGCAATATTTTGAATGAATAAAAAAACAATGATTGTATTCGGCTTTTGTATGATGTGAAGAATTATGAAGATCTTGGAGGCTGTTATCCACTTCGCCCTTCAACCTCGGTGGATAACCTTTTCTCCTGATTTGCAGAATTCTTAACATCATACAAAAGCCGAATTCAATAATCGTTAAATGTATTCAAGAAGAAGGTCGAAACGGCACCCTAAAGCCATGTAAGTTAAACGAGGATACGTTTAAACGGAAACACTTCAACGGAGATTTATGAAAGCGTCACTCGACCGAGCGCGAGACGTCAGAAGCGACTTGATATAGAAACTTTGGGTTGGCGTTGATGTCCTAGAAAGGTACCGAACCAAAGCTGTTACGAATATCACTAGATGAGCCACGAAAGCGATGCGATGGAGGTATTCGTAATAGCACCCTACGCTTCCATGTAATATTAAGCTTGGATATGAGAACCTGGTACTGTCGTGTTAAACAAAGTCAGTTATTTCTTTATTGCAGTCGCTTCAACCACATATGTGAACAGACGCGATTTACATCGTAGCCACTGCTGATTTGTTATGAAGACCTTTGGATCATAATCTCACCTCTCTCTGTAACGTGGAAAGTCATTAATTTTATCAACAATAAAATCCTTCCAATAATATCTTACCTAGTTTTTCTGGTCAAGTTGTTTGGACCCCCCTTATTAGTCTTCGGACAGCTAGTATTCGTTCAGTTCGTTGGTGTGTTAGTTTGAAGGACAGTATACGTTTCTGGGAAACTGCCCACCTACCCCTCCCCTGAGCCAACATTTTGCCCTAAGTGAGAAGTGAGTGCTAATGTTGGCTTAGGGGAGGCGTAAGTAGGCAGTTTCCCAAAAACGCATCGTAGTGATCCGCACAGTCTTGGGAAGAATAAAGAAAACGAACGAGTAACGAAAAAAATGGGGCGGCGGTTGGTGGATGGTGTGAGACTGAAGAGAAACCTAGTTACTAAGCTACAATCCCTGCAATGAGCTAAAGTGGAAATACGAAAAAGACGTTAAGAGATTGTCGAGAATCGGTAACCGATGTGTGTTTTAACGTAACACTTTTAGTGTACTGTGTGACAGCCTGAGTGATGACAGCAACACGAAGATGTATTACGCTTGTAGATGAGTTTAATAATTCATGTAATGATGATGATCATGGTAAAAAAAGTCGCAAAAAACATTTTTGGATGGTCTTCCTGTGTTAAAAACTAATACGAAAACAATCTGGCCCTACTCGACACGTGTCATTATCTGTCATTTTTTTTAGCTCTTTGTAGAACATTGTAGGTCATTCAGTGCAGCTCATTGTAGGTCATTATACACTTAATGTCAGGTCCCGAGAGACCTGACATTAAGGGCCAGTTATTTAAACGGAGTTTAGCAAGTGTTAAACAAGACCGCGTTCTAAGCCATTTTCAGTTTGCCGAACGCTTTTATATAAGCACCATTTATCGTGAAGAGTTTCATGAAATCATCTGGCGTAGACTAGAAAAGCATTTGTCTTCTTAAAATAATCCACTATGGACGAGATCTCGAAGTCCAAAGATTTCCTAAACCGCGGTCTAAGTTAGACTTCGTTTAAATAACCGACCCTAAGTGTTTTGTTATTTCTGGACTTTCACTTTAACAGCAACAAAAGAATAACTGAAGCTAAACAAAACAGTGGACTCGGTACTTATAAAAACACAAATCTAATTCTCAGTACCACTGAATAAATGACTTACAACAAAGTACTTTCCTAAAATTATCTGCATCTTTTGCCTCCACTTCCGTGTAGCATGAAAATGTTGCGGGAGTTTTATTTTGCGGATTGGCCATTTTTTGTGGTTTGCGGAAAAAATTTTTTGCGGTTCGAGATGACTGAAATTTCTGGAGGGAAATAATTTTTGTGATTCTCTATTCAAGTAGCAGAATATTTAAGTGGAAGAAACCTTAATACCCGAGCGGGGTACATTTGATTTTACATAGTATAGTGGCCACTATACTATGTAGGAAAGATAAAGGACACTATTTTTCCCGAAACTTCGTGTACATATTAAGGACAACAAAAAGTCGCCACATGGAAAGTTTCATCGATTTTTATTTCCATTTTCTGGCAAATTTCCTGACCTAAACTTCGCCCCATATGTTCTCTATATTTACTCATGTTGTATGAAACACGTACGCGACACAAATAGTGAGCCTGGGTTACCTGTTGTTTACGAAGCGAAGACTCGGCGAAGACCCCGTGCATTGAAGAAAGTGAAACTGTTGCCCTCCTGGTCTTCTTACTGGTGGAATATTGGAGCCCTATGCAGGGTACGGTGGCTTTCGGTCGCCAAAATTTATGTAGAATAACGGCATTCAATTCCAAATAAAAAAGAGAAGCTAAATTAAGTGGCATAAGCGAGCTTCGAACCCCGAAGTGCTAGCTCCATCGCCTGTACCACAAGGGATTCAACTATTGTGTCAATATTTTATTTTGTTTTACTTATTTTTAGTGGCAAACCTAACAGTAAATGCTTCTCAAGAGTGCTCAACCCTATTGACGATAGTCAGTGCGCATACTCCTACAGGGTGCAAAGAAGGTCAGTTTTATGGCTTGCAGTTCGGGCAAGTTGCTGCTAGTATGTACTAGCCCAAGAGTCTTTTTAACTAGCCCTAAAATGTTTTTCATAAGCATGTTTTTGTGTAAACATCATAAGGTGTCCAATGTGGTTCTGGACGATGGAATCTAATGTTGACCATAAATAACACATTTTCACGAAGAAATAGATATCGCATTTACCTCCGACCATTGGCAATAATTATTAACGTCCCCGTGTCCCCCGTGTCGCTCTATTTGACGTCCCGCGTGAAGGTCCCACACGTACCCGCGTCCCATACTTGATGTCCCCAAGTCCCTCGTATCGCGTCCTTTAGTCGCAAACAATGGTCGCCATCTTAGATTTTACCAAGAATTATAAATCAGGTTAAAAACGCGAGGAAAGGTGAGCTTTTGTGCTTGACATGAAAATAAAAATAAGCAAATGGCTTGATCGCCTGCTACCTATGACGTCATATCTTGTAATCATAAAAACTGACCATCACCGAGCTTGACTCAAAATGTGCGCCAGGGATGAGCGAACAGTTACTGAAAACATCAGGTGCTGATGTTTTATCCTCTAGGAAAAAAAATTCAGAAAAACCTTAGGCGGGGTAGCATCCACCCCCACCCCCTTGTACGTCCGAGGGTTAATCATTAGTTCTACAAAAATGCGGCCTACACTGAGAGGCTGGTCGAGTTTCATAATAGTGAACCTGGTTGCTACTTTTAAGTATGTTTTTAAAAAAAGAGGTTGCGAAAGCTACTAGGCAAAAGATTATGGTGATAGGAAGGAATACATAAATATAGCAACAGAAAAAGAATGCCAAGGACTCTAAGTATGCTAAATAACGGGGCGGTATTTGCTAGACAGTGAGCTTTTGATACAATCCGCTCGTTCGATATAATGCTCTTTTGCAAAAGGTAAATACAGTTTATGTTAGAGCAATGAGTGGAAGACCAGGCAGCATTACAGCAAGTCAGGTAGGGATAGTGAGTAATATAATTCAGGTTTCTGGGAAACTGCCCACCTACCTCTCGCCTAACTCAACGTTAACATTTGCGACTCACTTGGGGCAAAATGTTGGGTTAGGAGAGGGGTAGGTGGGCAGTTTCCCAGATACCTAAATTGATATAAGTTCAGCAACGATTTGGATGATAGATAAAAGAGAACTTTTGCAATCATCCCACAGTTTTCGAGGTCTTTTTAGAAACAAATATAATTGTAGCTTATTGTAGGTCGCTTTAGCTCATTGTGAGGTCATTGTAGATCACTATAGCTCATTGTAGCGAATTGTAGGTCACTGTAGCTCATTGTAGCTTATTATAGCTCATTGTAGGTGGCTGTAACTCATTGTGAGGTCATTGTAGGTCATTCCTTGTTTTAGTAACTACGCTGAACGAAAACGGTAGTGGTCCTAGTAGCTCAAAAGGCGGATAGCGCTATCCTCTGGAGAGTGATTTATCCAATGGATAACGCTATCCATCTTTGGAACAACTGGGCGGGGCTACTCTTTTTGTAAATGAGAAATGACGTGATGAACATGTCACGAGCACTGGACAAAGAAAAAATCTGAGTGCTGAACACCTGTTAAGAACCGCTGTTTCCTAAAACCTTTTTACCCCCACACATTCTTCCGCATCGAGCGCTGCGATCTTATTCCCCCCGGAATTTTGCATCTACCACATTTCTAGTTTATTTCAAGTGTTGCTTTACCCTACGAGCAGAGGCTACATTTTCGCGGTATGAGCTGGCGTGCGAAAAGTAGCCCAGGTAGTGTTACTTGAGCCATGTTACAGTCAAATTTTTCCCTCGGCAGTAGTTTTGAGGTCGAAAACTCAACAGTAAATGAATAAAAAACACAGCTGACGAATCAAGAAGCTGGAGAGCAAAGAAACCCAAGAACAGTAAAGAAACTAATTCCTGCGTTAGCAAGGTTGTCAGCATAATCTAGGAGCCGCCTCGTTCAGGTAACATGCATTTTGTCTAATCTGAATCGTGAATTTTAGTAAATAAACATTTTCTATGAATATTAATTAATAAAGTTTTCAAATCGTTGCCATCTTAGACAATTGGAAGCCAGTTCAAACCCATTCAAAAGATTTCTGCGGTGCATGCTATTTCTTGTACTGTTTATGTACTGTACTATGACATGGTATAAATGACACTATGTACTATGACATGGTATAAAAAAAAGTTATGCGACGCTTCGCGGCCCCGGTATAATTTGAATTCCCCGTCACAATTACTACTAGCACGGCATGGCAGGAGCCTATGGACGTGGAAAATGAAAATAGCCTGTCAGTTGTAAGTAAGAAAACAGAAAATTCCCCAAAGGGACCGCTTGGGTTGATTTTTGTTCATAGTTCGATACTCTTATTTGTTAAGCGTGTGTTCGCTCGCATTCTGTGGAGAAGCTGTTTTGCAAGTATTAAACCAAACTAACATTTCATTATTTTGTCTCGTTTTATTCTCTTCAACAGCTGCACAATGGTTTCAACACTGTCTCCTTGTGGGTTCTTGTTTTTTTTATTATTTTTATTGTTTTGTACTTTGGAGTATGTTCGTCCGTGGTGGGTAAAGTTCTGAAAAGGACTGTTTTTCGTAGTGACTGACCCTTTGTACAACCTGTGCAGAGGTCATCACCTGAGACACAAGGAGTTGTATCACTTAAGCTGATGGTTTTATGCCTTGTTATTGGTTTTCTTTTTGTTTGTTTGTTTGGGTTTTTTACATTTTTTGTTTTTTTTTTGTTGATGTTGTTTTCTGTTGTCTTTTTATCATTTTTTTGCATTTTTTGTTGATTTTAATCTTTTTTTTTTTTTGTATTTTTTGTTTTTATCTTTTTTTTTTTCGGGAAATGGTGTTCAGCAAGGTGATTGATGAGATCACCCTTTCTTGTTGCTCGTTTGTGTTAAGTCAGTCGAGTGCTAAAGTTTCTGCCGGTTTCACCAATGTAAGTGGCCAGGCAATCGCCGCATTTGTTCATTGCATACTGCTCCCTGTTTATCATCCAAACTGTTTTTGTCTTTGACATTCGTAAGCAGTACGGCGTAAAGTGGTCATCGGATAGTGTGCGAAGCGTATGTTGTACGGTTGTAGAAAACGTACGATAGTTTTCTGATATTAAAGGGGACTCACTGTCGTAGCAGGGTCAGAGTAAACGTTGGAGTTGATGTTAAGTTCAAGAGTTGCCGCGTGTATCTCGACCAAAATAAGCCGCATCGTAGCTGTTTTCACCAAAAACATTGTAAAGGTTATCTGTTACGTTTTGTAGGATGTTGGGAGAGTCACCAACTAGTTCCCTCGTCGCACCAAAGTCCCTAGGTAGAGACGTTTGACGAGATAATCCTAACTAGTTTGTGACTCATCTTACCGTGATCCCATAAAACGAAACCGACCACCTAAAACAACGTTTTTTAGAAAAAGCTACAACGCGGGCTTTTTTTTTTAGGAAAAACACTTAGAGCAACTCCGATCTCCACACCTACCCCTCCGTTAACTCAGGCCCNACGTTTGACGAGATAATCCTAACTAGTTTGTGACTCATCTTACCGTGATCCCATAAAACGAAACCGACCACCTAAAACAACGTTTTTTAGAAAAAGCTACAACGCGGGCTTTTTTTTTTAGGAAAAACACTTAGAGCAACTCCGATCTCCACACCTACCCCTCCGTTAACTCAGGCCCTATTACGACAATGGCTATCCCGCCTTCCATCAGGGGCGCCTCTTAAACTATCGCACATGCTCAGCTACCTTATAACTTTCGCGTTGCACACAAATCAACCACCACTTTCGACGAATTTGTTAACGAATGTCAAGGACAAAGACAGACCAGAGGAAAGACAAAGAGATGTATACAAGATCAAATGCTTTGACTGTTAGGCCATTTACACTGGTAAGACCGGCAGAAACCTTAGCAGGCGACTGACTGAACACAAACGGGTGACAAGAAATGGTGATAAAATCAGTCACATCAACCACTTACTCTAGACACCCGGCGCCATTAACTTGGAACAAACGCCGCGGTATCGAAGTCAGCTGTTTCCCTGCCATCACCATTGGTTTACGTGATACAACTCACTTTGCCTCGGAAGATGACTATCGCACAGGCTGCCCAACGTCAGTTACTGTCAACAACAGTCCTATTCAAGACTACACTCATTCGGACGATCATTTCTGCTTTTTTTTTTTAAATTTCTTTTTGTTTGTTTGTTTTCTTGCTGATTTTCTAACTTTTTTTCTTTTTTTCTTTAATTTTTTTCGTTTCTTTTAATTTTTTTTAAACCCCGACAAGTAGAACAGTATTACCAAATAACAGCCGTGATTTCACAAACATAAATAAAATGCTTCAGTTCTTTCGGCGGCGCGATCTCCGGGTGTAAGGTTTGGTTTCCTCACGCCTCGCCTCCTGTGTAAAAAGAACCACAAAGTGTCACTATTAGCAGTTGTTTAAAGATCAAAGTACCGTACAAGTAATTACCCCCTCTTACCATGTTATTAATGCTCATACCGATAACCTTTTCTATTGTTTATGTATTGATGTTATTCTGGGGTATTGTAAAGTGCAAAAGTGATTGGGATTCAACAAAAGCTGATATCTATGCTATAGTTATGATAGTCGGACTGACAGATACTAAGATCTCCAGTCAGCAAGACGTTACAGAATTCCCTCAACAAAACTGGCTACATCTTCATGTATCCATTTCTCGTCTACAGGGCCTCATAGCTCTAATCACGTAAGAGCAAAATTACAAGACCAAGTGAAACAAGTCACGAGGGTTTCTGGGCTCGAGAATGTTATAGGCTCGCTCTACTATTGAGATTGAGAACTTCATTAACTACAGCGTGTCAATGTAGATAACGGGCGATCGACCTTAATTACCTCAGAAACGAACTCTTCTCCATTCCAAACTCTACGCAACCTTCTTCGGCGTGACCTGGTGTTCAAAGCATGGGTAGGATGGTCCTAAATGAAATTAAAGAAACTAATTGAGTCCTGAAATTTAACTGCTTATTTTCCTTTCTCTTTTAAAAACCTGAACTTTCTTCAGTTGGGAGGACTGTTTTTTTTTTAAAGTTGCCTTCCACGCCAGAGTTGTTCAAACACTGGGTGCTGACTGCTATCAATCAGGCAATAGTTGGTCAAAAGATGGATAAACCTCGAAAAACTGTTAGGCTAAGAAGTTTTCAAAGCCGTTTTAATCTTCTTCAAGTTTGTCGATCCGTGCCTGGCTTTGTATTTGCTTTGTTCAGTTTAGATCTGCTTTTCATGTTTTGAGCTATCATTTAATGTTTCAATTAATGTGTCAGCTCCTACTATTTAAAATTTGATAAATTTAATGACACAGCTCCTTAAAATAAAAGAAAATACGTATGGTAGCTCATTAATATATAAAGGTTCCTATATAGTACCTCTAATGGTTGGCCCCAGTTGGCAGGCAAGGCTGCAACAGCAGCCGCCTGGGCTTCAAAGTTTCCACCAAACAAGGCATTGAACGCAGCAGATACAAAATAGCGAACATATCCCATAACATCGGACGATTCAAGATCCGGTTCCACAGTGCTAGGTACAGGATCAAACGCCGCCGGCAATTCTCGCTTCACTGTTGCCGTCATTGGCAGTGGTTGTGCAACAGTTTCTGAAATTGAAATAGTATATTTTGGTTTTTTCTTTAGTTCTTTTTAACACCTAAAATGGTAAGGAAAACAGCTGCTAAAGACAAGGTTTGTTTTTGAGGCTCAAAATTTATTATTTTGCTGATAATAACAAATACCTCTTACTAACCTCGTTTTTCTCGGTCCCTACTGTAAATAACAGTACGGACCGAGAAAAACGAGGTTAGTAAGATATTTATTATATCTCTGAGGTTTATAATTGGGCGCACGGGAAGGAAACTTCAAAATTTAGCGGGCCGTACAGTACAATACGGCCCGCAAATTGACCAATCACAGCGCCCGTACTAACTCACACATATAATAATGGTCTTCATTTCCACAAGATAAAGATACATATCTCATGTTACATGAATACCGTAATTAATAATAAAATAAATGAACTTATTAAAAAATCCTAACCATCCTATCGGATTCCTAAGGTTATGTTTAAAAATTAACCTATTTACAAAGGCAAACATTTATCAATCAGTAATATTTTAGGACGGGCACATTGTTTTTATGGAGATTATAAGAACATACTTTTTTGAAGGACTAAATGAAGCTAGTGTGTGATTATTTACAGAGGTTACTTTTTTAAAAATTTTGCTTTCATAGAAATTTTAGCATTAGATTCTAAACATTTATAAAACGAGCCAGATATAGAAGAAGACGTTTGTAGCAGCACAGTTAATGATAGATATTCCCCAACTCACCTCCTGAAGAGCAAGCCTCACTTGTAAATGGAGCCATACAAATCATTCCGCTTCCTCTGAAAGGTTCCTGCGATCAAACAAGGACAGTGATAAAATTAATGCACATGCGTTGTACTGTTGTTTTAAGAACAACTGCAATAATTTGTGATTAGCAAAGAAAGAGTTACTGTCATTATGATATTTGAAGTAAACAAGAGGAAGCATCTACGATCTCCTTTTGCAAGAAAATATATAATAGTCTTTCACTGGCTGCCCCTTCGATTATTTCTTTCGGAGGCGCTCATTGGCTTAAACGGGAAACACACAAGAACACGACAAAATGGCGACGAAATTGCTAACTTCGAAATTGCAAGGACGTAAGAAGCTGCTTTCAATCAAGTTTGTGAAACATTTCGCATTCTACAACTGCGCAAAAAGCAGCAGGAAACCATTCATTATTACATTGTTATTATTTTTTTTGAGGGAAAAGATATCTTGGTATCTCTACCGACAGGGTACGGCAAATCGGTTATATTTCAAGCAATACCAGCGATCACATGATCGCTTAAGGTGCTGATGGAAGATCAAGTGCAGTATCTAGTAAACAGTCTGCAATTCAAAACGAAGAATCAGATCGATGAATGGATATATCCTACGTGTAGTCGTACGCTCACCTAGCCTTTAGAGATTAATCCTTGTATTCTTAAATATTCCGAAATAAAGATAAAGGAATTTCCCCTTTAAGGCCTTATCAAAACTTTGTTAGTTTTTCACCGACAATTTTTTGCCCGTTACGAATTTCTTTATCCGTAAGTGTCGCCCGTAAGCATCCTCGTACACTGTAGCTCACGCAAATATAAAGAAAAGTACTAACAGTTAAATAATGCAGTTGTTCATATACCAGTAAACGTTTTGATTTACTTGACGAGACCCAACAGCATTATATTATATAATCGCCACCCTAATCTTTAAGAGTCACCCCCTCCCCCACCAGAGTAATCTATATATACATGAATCTCACATGCATGCAGCTTAACAAAAATCCTATGTTCAAATTCCGTGATTACGCCACAACTCTTTCGCACTCAGTCAATTGCATATGATGGTGTTGTCAGTATTTATTTGCCATTTGTATTTTTTGTTCTACAAAACCCGGCCGGCCACCATCTAATGCAATGGATATATACGATTTGGTTAAAAAAAAAAACTGACATATAGATCAGACTCCAAGAAGATTAGTTGCTTACAACTCATAATATAACAATATAAAACTATTAGCTAGATTCGGTTTTTGTACCTCCACCTTGACTATTCTAGGTAACTCAAATATCCATAATTGTTTATTCATTCGAAATCATTACTTTTGCCCGTCAGGAATTTTGCCTAGAAGGCTAAGTCCTTCATAAGGATCTCTGTAACCTGAAACTGATGCAAACATAAAGTAGAGTACTTACGGTTAAATAGTGCAGTTAATATTTCCTTGAAGAGAACCTATGATATGATGTCATCGCCACCTTTCCCTAATCTTTTTATAATCACCATAGTCCCCGCAACTAATGCATATATATTAAGAAATCACATCAACCCCTCTTACCTCATCTTTTCCAACATTGATATTAGCTGAGGAAACAACTTCTTCATATTTCGACAACTTTCTTGGGATATGGGAAGTATTATCCCCGTCTGAGGTTCTACTCATGTTGCTAAATGATCTTTTTCTTCCTCTTCTTTTCTTGGAAGATTTTCTTTCTTCATGGCTCCGCATTGAAGACAACACTCTGACTTCCTACAACAGGAAGAATACAGCTCAACGGATGGTATCTGCTGCTAAAGCAATATCGGCTAGGAATGCGAAAAAAAAACTTTTGAAAACTGGATCTTCTCTTAATTTAAATTTTCCACCACATTTTAGAAATTTAACTTACCAACGAGACTCAGTCCAAGTGATTTTGAGAGATTAATATTCCTTGTATTCTTTATTTGTACATACTACAAAAGTCGATAGTAATTTTTGGGTGCTGTGATTGGCTACAGGATATCTAGTGTTAGTATTCACCAAATAAGCGAATAGTAATTTTCGCGTGTTTTGATTGGCTCCCGAAATTCGAAATATCCTTGGCTATTCACTATTTTTCGAAAACGTTTCGGAAAGACAAAATTTGAGCTATAAATGAAACATTCGTACTAAAAATAAAATTCCAAGAAAACGACGAACTTTGGCTTCTCGGCGTTTACTGGTAAGTAGAAAATTATTTTCATGCTAAATTTCCACCAAAATCGAAAAAATGCACTTGACAAAATCCCAAAACGTTTGTAAACCGTTAACAAAGTTCCTACTAAGTGATGTTTATAATTTCAAAAAAATATACAATGATCCGTATATATTATATAAGTTAAGAAATCACATAAACCCCTCTTACCTCATCTTTACCAACATTGGTATTAGCCGAAGAAACAAGGCCTTTATGATGACTCTTTTCACTCAAGTCAATTTCACCCATGCACGTTGCAGGACTGTTCTCACAAGTCAATAACCCTGGATCATTGGTGTCAGGGGATGGTGCTTCTTCCTCAATTTGTGCTGCAGCTGCTTCCACCTCCATATAAGGAGTCTCCATAAAACCAACACTTGATCTCGCCTCTTGATTGAGGAGCCTTAACTCCTCTTCTGTTACAGACATCTCAATAATTGAGACCTCTGTCAGGTCTGGTAACACAACGGAGGAAATTATTTTTCCATCATTGGTGTCAGAGGATGGTTCTTCTTCCTCAATTTTTGCTGTAGCTGCTGCCTCGTCCGTAGCACAACATCCGGTATGATCATGACTGTACGAGCCAATGATCATTCTGCCTTGATTTACCAGCAACTGGCTTGCACTGGCGGAGCTATCATCCACATCTGAGTTACTACTGGTGTTTCTAGATGACCTTATCCTTCCTCTTCGTTTCTTTGAAGGTCTTATTTGTCCATGGCTCATTGAAGACGATACGTCATCTTTTGCCTGTAAACAGAAACAGCAGGAAGAATACAGCTCAACCCGATGGTATCTGCTGCTAAAGCAATATCGGCTAGGAATGCGAAAAAAAAAACCTTTTGAAAACTGGATCTATCTCTTAATTTAAATTTTCCACCACATTTTAGAAATTTAACTTACCAACGAGAATCACCACCTTTCCCTAATCTTTTTATAATCACCATAGTCCCCGCAACTAATGCATATATATTAAGAAATCACATCAACCCCTCTTACCTCATCTTTTCCAACATTGATATTAGCTGAGGAAACAACTTCTTCATATTTCGACAACTTTCTTGGGATATGGGAAGTATTATCCACGTCTGAGGTTCTACTCATGCTGCTAAATGATCTTTTTCTTCCTCTTCTTTCCTTGGAAGATTTTCTTTCTTCATGGCTCCGCATTGAAGACAACACTCTGACTTCCTACAACAGAAAGAATTCAACTCAACGGATGGTATCTGCTGCTAAAGAAATAACGGCTAGGAATGCGAAAAAAAAAACTTTTGAAAACTGCATCTTCTCTTAATTTTAATTTTCCACCACATTTTAGAAATTTAACTTACCAACGAGACTCAGTCTAAGTGATTTTGAGAGATTAATATTCCTTGTATTCTTTATTTGTATATACTACAACAGTGGATAATAATTTTTGGGCGGTCTGATCGGCTACAGGATGTCTAGTGTTACTATTCACCAAATCAGCGAATAGTAAATTTCCCCGTTTTTATTGGCTCCCGAAATTCGAAATATCCTTGGCTATTCACTGTTTTTCAAGAAATTTTCGGAAAGACAAAATTTGAGCAAAAAATAAAACATTCATACAAACAATAAAATTCCAAGAAAGCAACGAACTTTGGCTTCTCGGTGTTTACTAGTAAGTAGAAAATTATTACTTATTACTTATTAATTATTACTTCTTGTTCTCCGCGCTCAACAATTATACTGCGCTCAGTAAGTCGTACCACCATAACAAATTTGATTAATGCAGCACTAGAACTGTCCAATTTGACCTATCTGATTTGAAGCTGCTCTCGGTGTTTACTGGTAAGTAGAAAATTATTTTCATGCTGAATTTGCAACAAAATCGTAAAAATGCACTTGAAAAAATCACAAACTGTTTGTAAACTGTTAACAAAGTTCCTACTAAGAGACCCATATAATTTTAAAAAATATACTATGATCCATATATATACGAATTAAGAAATCACATCAAACCCTCTTACCTCATCTTTACCATTATTGGTATTAAGCGAAGAAACAAGGCCTTTATGATCACCCTTTTCACACAAGTCAACTCCATCCAAGCACGTTGCAGGACTGTTCTCACAAGTCAATAACGCTGGATCATTGGTGTCAGGGTAAGGTTCTTCCTCCTCAATTTGTGCTGCAGCTGCTTCCACCTCTATATAAGGAGCCTCCATAAAACCAACACTTGATCTCGCCTCTTGATTGAGCAGCCTTAACTCCTCTTCTGTTACAGAGGTCTCAATAATTGAGACCTCTGTCAGGTCTGGTAACACAACGGAAGAAATTATTTTTTCATCATTGGTCTCAGAGGATGGTTCTTCCTCCTCAATTTTTGCTGCAGCTGCTGTCTCGTCCGTAGCACAACATCCGGTATGATCATGACTGTACGAGCCAATGATCACTCCACCTTGATTTACAAGCAACTGGCTTGCACGGGCGGAGCTATCATCCACATCTGAGTTACTACTGGTGTTTCTAGATGACCTTTTCCTTCCTCTTCGTTTCTTTGAAGATCTTCTTTGTCCATGGCTCATTGAAGACGATACGTCATCTTTTGTCTGTAAACAGAAATAACAGAAAGAATACAGCTCAACGGATGGCATCTGCCAATTGACGAATATTCGCTTAGAATGCACAAAAAACGTTTGGCCACTCGATATTTATTTTTATCATTACAATTTACCACACATTTTTATTCTTGTTCTACGCGCTCAGTTATGCTGCGCTCAGTCAGTCAATCGTATTACCATAACAAATTTGATTAATGCAGCAATAGAACTGTCCAATTTGACCTATCTGATTTGAAGCCGCTTGTAACCTGACAGTTGGACAGCAGATGAAAATCAAGCCTCAAATGCTGCTATCCAATAAAGTTTTTAGTATGTGGGAAGAACGAGTCGTTGTGATTAAGTTCTTTAATAAATTATGGTACTTCAGATGCATCTAAATTCAGATAAATACTAGCCCACTGCATTGGGATCAATTGCGGCATTCCATCGGCTGCCACACACAACCGGCAGCTCGCTGCTGTACCATTTCTTTTTACTACAACAATGCATAGTATTTTTTATTGCTGCGATTGGTTACTTAAAGTCGTTAAATAATGCAGTTACTATTTCCTTGAAGAGAAACAATGGTATGATGTCATCATCGACTTTCCCTAAACCAATACAATTTTATTAAGAAATCACATTAACCCCTCTTACCTCATCTTTACCAACATTGGTATTAGCTGAAGAAACAAGGCCTTTAAAATGACCCTTTTCACAGAAATCAACTTCACCCATGCACGTTGCAGGAGTGTTCTCACAAGTCAATAACCCTGGATCATTGGTGTCAGGGGATGGTGCTTCCTCCTCAATTTGTGCTGCAGTTGCTTCCACCTCCATATAAGGAGCCTCCATAAAACCAACACTTGAACTGGCTTCTTGATTGAGCAGCCTTAACTCCTCTTCTGTTACAGACATCTCAATAATTGAGACCTCTGTCAGGTCTGGTAACACAACGGAAGAAATTATTTTTTCATCATTGGTGTCAGAGGATGGTTCTTCCTCCTCAATTTTTGCGGTAGGTGCTGCCTCGTCCGTAGCACAACATCCGGTATGATCATGACTGTACGAGCCAATGATCATTCCGCCTTGATTTACAAGCAACTGGCTTGCACGGGTGGAGCTATCATCTACATCTGAGTTACTACTGGCGTTCCTAGATGACCTTTTCCTTCCTCTTCGTTTCTCTGAAGGTCTTATTTGTCCATGGCTCATTGAAGACCATACGTCATCTTTTGTCTGTAAACAGAAACAACGGGAAGAGTACAACTCAACCGATGGCATCTGCTAGTTGACAAATATCCGGTTAAAATGCTCAAAACACGTTTGGCAACTCGATATTCATTTTTGTTGTTATAATTTCCCTTTCTTTTCTTCTTGTTCTACGCGCTCAATTATACTGCGCTCAGTCAGTCGTACCACCATAACAAATTTGATTAATGCAACACTAGAACTGTTCAATTTGACCTATCTGATTTGAAGCTACTCTCGGTGTTTAATTGTTGGGCAGAAAATTATTTTCATGCTGAATTTGCAACAAAATCGTAAAAATGCACTTGAAAAAATCCCAGAATGTTTGTAAACTGTTAACAAAGTTCCTACTAAGAGACGTTTATAATTTAAAAAAATATACTATGATCCATATATATACGAATTAAGAAATCACATCAACCCCTCTTACCTCAACTTTACCAACACTGGTATTAGCTGAAGAAACAAGGCCTTTATGATCACCCTTTTCACTCAAGTCAACTTCACCCATGCACGTTGCAGGACTGTTCTCACAAGTCAATAACCCTGGATCATTGGTGTCAGGGGATGGTGCTTCTTCCTCAATTTGTGCTGCAGCTGCTTTCACCTCCATATAAGGAGCCTCCATAAAACCAACACTTGAACTGGCTTCTTGATTGAGGAGCCTTAACTCCTCTTCTGTTACAGACATCTCAATAATTGAGACCTCTGTAAGGTCTGGTAACACAACGGAAGAAATTATTTTTTCATCATTGGTCTCAGAGGATGGTTCTTCCTCCTCAATTTTTTCTGCAGCTGTTGTCTGGTCCGTAGCACAACATCCGGTATGATCATGACTGTACGAGCCAATGATCATTCTGCCTTGATTGACAAGCAACTGGCTTGCACGGGCGGAGCTATCATCCACATCTGAGTTACTACTGGTGTTTCTAGATGACCTTTTCCTTCCTCTTCGTTTCTTTGAAGATCTTCTTTGTCCATGGATCATTGAAGACAATACCTCATCTTTTGTCTGTAAACAGAAACAACCGGAAGAATACAGCTCGACCGATGGCATCTGCTAGTTGACGAATATGCGGTTAAAATGCTTAAAACACGTTTCGCAACTCGATATTCATTTTTGTTGTTATAATTTCCCTTTTTTTTTCTTCTTGTTCTACGCGCTCAATTATACTGCGCTTAGACAGTCGTACTACCATAACAAATTTGATTAATGCAACACTAGAACTGTCCAATTTGACCTATCTGATTTGAAGCTGCTCTCGGTGTTTACTGGTAGGTAGAAAATTATTTTCTTGCTGAATTTGCATCGAAATCGTAAAAATGCACTTGAAAAAATCCCAAAATGTTTGTAAACTCTTAACAAAGTTCCTACTATGAGAAGTTTTATAATTTAAAAAAATATACTATGAGTACACGAATTAAGAAATTACATCAACCCCTCTTACCTCATCTTTACCAACACTGGTATTAGCTGAAGAAACAAGGCCTTTATGATCACCCTTTTCACTCAAGTCAACTTCACCCATGCACGTTGCAGGAGTGTTCTCACAAGTCAATAACCCTGGATCATTGGTGTCAGGGGATGGTTCTTCCTCCTCAATTTGTGCTGCAGCTGCTTCCACCTCTATATAAGGAGCCTCCATAAAACCAACACTTGATCTCGCCTCTTGATTGAGGAGCCTTAACTCCTCTTCTGTTACAGACATCTCAATAATTGAGACCTCTGTCAGGTCTGGTAACACAACGGAGGAAATTATTTTTCCATCATTGTTGTCAGAGGATAGTTCTTCCTCCTCAATTTTTGCGGTAGGTGCTGCCTCGTCCGTAGCACAACATCCGGTATGATCATGATTGTACGAGCCAATCATCATTCCGCCTTGATTTACAAGCAACTGGCTTGCACGGGCGGATTTATCATCCACATCTGAGTTACTACTGGTGTTTCTAGATGACCTTTTCCTTCCTCTTCGTTTCTTTGAAGATCTTCTTTGTCCACGGCTCATTGAAGACGATACGTCATCTTTTGTCTGTAAACAGAAACAACAGGAAGAATACAGTTCAATGGATGGCATATGCTAGTAGATGAATATCCGCTTAAAATGGTCAAAACACGTTTGGCAACTCGATATTCATTTTTATTGTTATAATTTTCCTTTTTTTTCTTCTTCTTCCACGCGCTCAGTTATGTTGCGCTCAGTCAGTCGTACTACAATAAAAAATTGATAAATGCAGCAATAGAACTGTCCAATTTGACCTATCTGATTTGAAGCTGCTTGTAATCTGACAGTTGGACAGCGGATGAAAATCAAGCGTCAAATGCTGCTAGCCAATAAAGTTTCCAGTATGTGGGAAGAACGAGTCGTTGTGAATAAGTTCTTTAATAAATTATGGTACTTCAGAAGCATTTAAATTCAGATAACTACTAGCTTACTGCATTGGGATCAATTGCTGCATTCCATCGGCTACCACAAACAACCGGCAGCTCGCTGCTGTACCGATTCTATTTTACTAAACAATGCATAGTGTTTTTCACCTGCTGTGATTGGTTACTTAAACTCGTTAAATAATGCAGTTACTATTTCCTTGAAGAGAAACAAAGGTATTATGTCATCATCGGCTTTACCTAAACCAATACATTTTTATTAAGAAATCACATCAACCCCTCTTACCTCAACTTTACCAACATTGGTATTAGCTGAAGAAACAAGGCCTTTATGATCACCCTTTTCACAAAAGTCAACTTCACCCATGCACGTTGCAAGACTGTTCTCACAAATCAATAACCCTGGATCATTGGTGTCAGGGGATGGTGCTTCTTCCTCAATTTGTGCTGCAGCTGCTTCCACCTCTATATAAGGAGCCTCCATAAAACCAACACTTGATCTCGCCTCTTGATTGAGGAGCCTTAACTCCTCTTCTGTTACAGAGGTCTCAATAATTGAGACCTCTGTCAGGTCTGGTAACACAACGGAAGAAATTATTTTTTCATCATTGGTCTCAGAGGAAGGTTCTTCCTCCTCAATTTTTTCTGCAGCTGTTGTCTGGTCCGTATCACAACATCCGGTATGATCATGATTGTACGAGCCAATGATCACTCCACCTTGATTTACAAGCAACTGGCTTGCACGGGCGGAGCTATCATCCACATCTGAGTTACTACTGGTGTTTCTAGATGACCTTTTCCTTCCTCTTCGTTTCTTTGAAGATCTTCTTTGTCCATGGCTCATTGAAGACGATACGTCATCTTTTGTCTGTAAACAGAAATAACAGAAAGAATACAGCTCAACGGATGGCATCTGCCAATTGACGAATATTCGCTTAGAATGCACAAAAAACGTTTGGCCACTCGATATTTATCTTTATCATTATAATTTACCACACATTTTCATTCTTGTTCTACGCGCTCAGTTATGCTGCGCTCAGTCAGTCAATCGTATTACCATAACAAATTTGATTAATGTAGCAATAGAACTGTCCAATTTGACCTATCTGATTTGAAGGCGCTTGTAATTTGACAGTTGGACAGCAGATGAAAATCAAGCCTCAAATGCTGCTATCCAATAAAGTTTTTAGTATGTGGGAAGAACGAGTCGTTGTGATTAAGTTCTTTAATAAATTATGGTACTTCAGATGCATCTAAATTCAGATAAATACTAGCCCACTGCATTGGGAGCAATTGCTGCATTCCCTCGGCTGCTACGCACAAGCGGCAGCTCGCTGCTGTACCGTTTCTATTTTACTACAACAATACATACTAGTGTTCACACGCTGTAATTGGTTACTTAAACTCGTTAAATAATGCAGTTGCTATTTTCTCGAAGAGAACCTATGGTATGATGTCATCATCGGCTTTTCCTAAACCAATACATACATATTAAGAAATCACATCAACCCCCTACCTCATCTTTACCAACATTGGTATTAGCTGAAGACACAATGCCTGTATGATGACCTTTTTCATACAAGTCAACTTCACCCATGCACGTTGCAGGACTGTTATTGCAAGTCAATAACCGTGGATCATTGGTGTGAGGGGATGGTGCTTCTTCCTCAATTTGTGCTGCAGCTGCTTCCACCTTCATATAAGAAGCCTCCATAAAGCCAACGCTTGATCTGGCTTCTTGATTGAGGAGCCTTAACTCCTCTTCAGTTACAGACATCTCAATAATTGAGACCTCTGTCAGGTCTGGTAACACAACGGAAGAAATTATTTTTTCGTCATTGGTCTCAGAGGATGGTTCTTCCTCCTCAATTTTTGCTGCAGCTGCTGTCTCGTCCGTAGCACGACATCCAGTATGATCATGACTGTACGAGCCAATCATCATTCCGCCTTCATTTACAAGGAACTGGACAACAGATGAAAATCAAGCGTCAAATGTTGCTATCCAATGAAGTTTTTAGTATGTGGGAAGAACGAGTCGTTGTGATTAAGTTTTTTAATAAATTATGGTACTTCAGATGCATTTAAATTCAGATACCTACTAGCCAACTGCATTGGGAGCTATTGCGGCATTCCATCGGCTGCCACACACAACCGGCAGCTCGCTGCTGTACCGTTTCTATTTTACTACAACAATACATAGTATTTTTCACACGCTGTGATTGGTTACTTAAACTCATTAAATAATGCAGTTACTATTTCCTCGAATACCGATGGTATCTGCTGCTAAAGCAATATCGGCTAGGAATGCGAAAAAAAAAAACCTTTTGAAAACTGGATCTATCTCTTAATTTAAATTTTCCACCACATTTTAGAAATTTAACTTACCAACGAGACTCACCACCTTTCCCTAATCTTTTTATAATCACCATAGTCCCCGCAGCTAATGCATATATATCAAGAAATCACATCAGCCCCTGTTACCTCATCTTTTCCAACATTGATATTAGCTGAGGAAACAACTTCTTCATATTTCAACAACTTTCTTGGGACATGGGAAGTATTATCCACGTCTGAGGTTCTACTTATACTGCTAAATGATCTTTTTCTTCCTCTTCTTTCCTTGGAAGATTTTCTTTCTTCATGGCTCCGCATTGAAGATAATACTCCTACTTCCTACAACAGAAAGAATTCAACTCAACGGATGGTATCTGCTGCTAAAGAAATAACGGCTAGGAATGCGAAAAAAAAAAAAATTGGAAAACTGGATCTTCTCTTAATTTAAATTTTCCACCACACTTTAGAAATTTAACTTACCAACGAGACTCAGTCCAAGTGATTTTGAGAGATTAATATTCCTTGTATTCTTTATTTGTATATACTACAACAGTGGATAATGATTTTTGGGCGGTCTGATTGGCTACAGGATATCTAGTGTTACTATTCACCAAATCAGCGAATAGTAAATTTCCCCGTTTTTGATTGGCTCCCGAAATTCGAAATATCCTAGGCTATTCACTGTTTTTCGAGAAATTTTCGGAAAGACAAAATTTGAGCAATAAATAAAACATTCGTACAAACAATAAAATTCCAATAAACTAACGAACTTTGGCTTCTCGGTGTTTACTAGTAAGTAGAAAATTATTACTTATTACTTATTAACTATTACTTCTTGTTCTACGCACTCAATTATACTGCGCTCAGTCAGTCGTACTACCATAACAAATTTGATTAATGCAGCACTAGAACTGTCCAATTTGACCTATCTGATTTGAAGCTACTCTCTGTGTTTACTGGTAGGTAGAAAATAATTTTCATGCTAAATTTGCAACAAAATCGTAAAAATGCACTTGAAAAAATACCAAACTGTTTGTAAACTGTTAACAAAGTTCCTACTAAGAGACGTTTATAATTTTAAAAAATATACTATGATCCATATATATACGAATTAAGAAATCACATCAACCCCTCTTACCTCATCTTTACTAACATTGGTATTAGCTGAAGAAACAAGGCCTTTAAGATGACCTTTTTCACACAAGTCAACTTCACCCATGCACGTTGCAGGACTGTTCTCACAAGTCAATAACCCTGGATCATTGGTGTCAGGGGATGGTTCTTCCTCCTCAATTTGTGCTGCAGCTGCTTCCACCTCTATATAAGGGGCCTCCATAAAACCAACACTTGATCTCGCCTCTTGATTGAGCAGCCTTAACTCCTCTTCTGTTACAGACATCTCAATAATTGAGACCTCTGTCAGGTCTGGTAACACAACGGAAGAAATTATTTTTTCATCATTGGTCTCAGAGGATGGTTGTTCCTCCTCAATTTTTGCTGCAGCTGCTGTCTCGTCTGTAGCACAACATCCGGTATGATCATGACTGTACGAGCCAATCATCATTCCGCCTTGATTTACAAGCAACTGGCTTGCACGGGCGGAGCTATCATCCACATCTGAGTTACTACTGGTGTTCCTAGATGACCTTTTCCTTCCTCTTCGATTCTTTGAAGATCTTCTTTGTCCATGGCTCATTGAAGACGATACGTCATCTTTTGTCTGTAAACAGAAATAACAAGAAGAATACACCTCAACGGATGGCATCTGCCAATTGACGAATATTCGCTTAGAATGCACAAAAAACGTTTGGCCACTCGATATTTATTTTTATCATTGCAATTTACCACACATTTTCATTCTTGTTCTACGCGCTCAGTTATACTGCGCTCAGTCAGTCAGTCGTACTACCATAACAAATTTGATTAATGCAGCAATAGAACTGTCCAATTTGACCTATCTGATATGAAGCCGCTTGTAATCTGACAGTTGGACAGCAGATGAAAATCAAGCGTCAAATGCTGCTATCCAATAAAGTTTTTAGTATGTGGGAAGAACGAGTCGTTGTGATTAAGTTCTTTAACAAATTATGGTACTTCAGATGCATTTAAATTCAGATAAATACTAGCCCACTGCATTGGGATCAATTGCGGCATTCCATCGGCTGTCACACACAACCGGCAGCTCGCTGCTGTACCATTTCTATTTTACTACAACAATGCAATTTTTTTTTATTGCTGCGATTGGTTACTTAAAGTCGTTAAATAATGCAGTTACTATTTCCTTGAAGAGAAACAATGGTATGATGTCATCATCGGCTTTCCCTAAACCAATACATTTTTATTAAGAAATCACATCAACCCCTCTTACCTCATCTTTACCAACATTGGTATTAGCTGAAGAAACAAGGCCTTTAAAATGACCCTTTTCACAGAAATCAACTTCACCCATGCACGTTGCAGGACTGTTCTCACAAGTCAATAACCCTGGATCATTGGTGTCAGGGGATGGTGCTTCTTCCTCAATTTGTGCTGCAGCTGCTTCCACCTCCATATAAGGAGCCTCCATAAAGCCAACACTTGATCTGGCTTCTTGATTGAGGAGCCTTAACTCCTCTTCTGTTACAGACATCTCAATAATTGAGACCTCTGTCAGGTCTGGTAACACAACGGAAGAAATTATTTTTTCATCATTGGTGTCAGAGGGTGGTTCTTCCTCCACAATTTTTGCTGCAGCTGCTGTCTCGTTCGCAGCACAACATCCGGTATGATCATCACTGTACGAGGCAATGATAATTCCGCCTTGATTTACAAGCAACTGGCTTGCACGGGCGGAGCTATCATCCACATCTGAGTTACTACTGTCGTTTCTAGATGACCTTTTCCTTCCTCTTCGTTTCTTTGAAGGTCTTATTTGTCCATGGCTCATTGAAGACCATACGTCATCTTTTGTCTGTAAACAGAAACAACGGAAAGAATACAGCTCAACCGATGGCATCTGCTAGTTGACGAATATCAGGTTAAAATGGTCAAAACACGTTTGCCAACTCGATATTTATTTTTGTTGTTATAATTTCTCTTTTTTTTCTTCTTCTTCTACGCGCTCAATTATACTGCGCTCAGACAGTCGTACTACCATAACAAATTTGATTAATGCAGCATTAGAACTGTCCAATTTGACCTATCTGATTTGAAGCTGCTCTCGGTGTTTACTGGTAGGTAGAAAAATATTTTCATGCTAAATTTGCAACAAAATCGTAAAAATCCCCTTGAAAAAATCCCAGAACGTTGTAAACCGTTAACAAAGTTCCTACTAAGAGACGTTTATAATTTAAAAAAATATACTATGATCCACATATATGCGAATTAAGAAATCACATCAACCCCTCTTACCTCATCTTTACCAACATCGGTATTAGCGTAAGAAACAAGGCCTTCATGATGACTCTTTTCACAGAAGACAACTTCACCCATGCACGTTGCAGGACTGTTCTCACAAGTCAATAACCCTGGATCATTGGTGTCAGGGGATGGTGCTTCTTCCTCAATTTGTGCTGCAGCTGCTTCCACCTCCATATAAGGAGCCTCCATAAAGCCAACACTTGATCTGGCTTCTTGATTGAGGAGCCTTAACTCCTCTTCTGTTACAGACATCTCAATAATTGAGACCTCTGTCAGGTCTGGTAACACAACGGAAGAAATTATTTTTTCATCATTGGTGTCAGAGGGTGGTTCTTCCTCCACAATTTTTGCTGCAGCTGCTGTCTCGTTCGCAGCACAACATCCGGTATGATCATCACTGTACGAGGCAATGATAATTCCGCCTTGATTTACAAGCAACTGGCTTGCACGGGCGGAGCTATCATCCACATCTGAGTTACTACTGGTGTTTCTAGATGACCTTTTCCTTCCTCTTCGTTTCTTTGAAGATCTTCTTTGTCCATGGATCATTGAAGACAATACGTCATCTTTTGTCTGTAAACAGAAACAACGGGAAAATACAGCTCGACCGATGGGATCTGCTAGTTGACGAATATCCGGTTAAAATGGTCAAAACACGTTTGCCAACTCGATATTCATTTTTGTTGTTATAATTTCCCTTTTTTTTTCTTCTTGTTCTACGCGCTCAATTATACTGCTCTCAGACAGTCGTACTACCATAACAAATTTGATTAATGCAGAATTAGAACTGTCCAATTTGACCTATCTGATTTGAAGCTGCTCTCGGTGTTTACTGGTAGGTAGAAAATTATTTTGATGCTGAATTTGCAACAAAATCGTAAAAATGCGCTTGAAAAAATCCCAAAATGTTTGTAAACTCTTAACAAAGTTCCTACTAAGAGACGTTTATAATTTAAAAAAATATACTATGAGTACACGAATTAAGAAATCACATCAACCCGTCTTACCTCATCTTTACCAACATTGGTATTAGCTGAAGAAACGAGGCCTTTATGATCACCCTTTTCACAGAAATCAACTTCACCCATGCACGTTGCAGGACTGTTCTCACAAGTCAATAACCCTGGATCATTGGTGTCAGGGGATGGTTCTTCCTCCTCAATTTGTTCTGCAGCTGCTTCCACCTCCATATTAGGAGCCTCCATAAAGCCAACACTTGAACTGGCTTCTTGATTGAGGAGCCTTAACTCCTCTTCTGTTACAGACATCTCAATAATTGAGACCTCTGTCAGGTCTGGTAACACAACGGAAGAAATTATTTTTCCATCATTGTTGTCAGAGGATGGTTCTTCCTCCTCAATTTTTGCAGTAGGTGCTGCCTTGTCCGTATCACAACATCCGGTATGATCATGACTGTACGAGCCAATGATCATTCCGCCTTGATTTACAAGCAACTGGCTTGCACGGGCGGAGCTATCATCCACATCTGAGTTACTACTGTTGTTTCTAGATGACCTTTTCCTTCCTCTTCGTTTCTTTGAAGATCTTCTTTGTCCACGGCTCATTGAAGACGATACGTCATCTTTTGTCTGTAAACAGAAACAACAGGAAGAATACAGTTCAATGGATGGCATCTGCTAGTTGACGAATATCCGGTTAAAATGGTCAAAACACGTTTGGCAACTCGATATTCATTTTTACTGTTATAATTTTCCTTTTTTTTTCTTCTTGTCTACGCGCTCAGTTATGCTGCGCTCAGTCAGTCGTACTACAATAAAAAATTGATAAATGCAGCAATAGAACTGTCCAATTTGACCTATCTAATCTGAAGCTGCTTGTAATCTGACAGTTGGACAGCGGATGAAAATCAAGCGTCAAATGCTGCTAGCCAATAAAGTTTTCAGTATGTGGGAAGAACGAGTCGTTGTGATTAAGTTCTTTAACAAATTATGGTACTTCAGAAGCATTTAAATTCAGATAACTACTAGCCTACTGCATTGTGATCAATTGCTGCATTCCATCGGCTACCACAAACAACCGGCAGCTCGCTGCTGTACCATTTATATTTTACTACAACAATGCATAGTGTTTTCATCTGCTGTGATTTGTTACTTAAACTCATTAAATAATGCAGTTACTATTTCCTTGAAGAGAAACAAAGGTATTATGTCATCATCGGCTTTTCCTAAACCAATACATTTTTATTAAGAAATCACATCAACCCCTCTTACCTCAACTTTACCAACATTGGTATTAGCTGAAGAAACAAGGCCTTTATGATCACCCTTTTCACACAAGTCAACTTCACCCATGCACGTTGCATTATTGGTGTCAGGGGATGGTGCTTCTTCCTCAATTTGTGCTGCAGCTGCTTCCACCTCCATATAAGGAGCCTCCATAAAGCCAACACTTGATCTGGCTTCTTGATTGAGGAGCCTTAACTCCTCTTCTGTTACAGACATCTCAATAATTGAGATCTCTGTCAGGTCTGGTAACACAACGGAAGAAATTATTTTTCCATCATTGTTGTCAGAGGATGGTTCTTCCTCCTCAATTTTTGCAGTAGGTGCTGCCTTGTCCGTATCACAACATCCGGTATGATCATGGTTGTACGAGCCAATCACCATTCCGCCTTGATTTACAAGCAACTGGCTTGCACGGGCGGAGCTATCATCCACATCTGAGTTACTACTGGTGTTTCTAGATGACCTTTTCCTTCCTCTTCGTTTCTTTGAAGGTCTTATTTGTCCATGGCTCATTGAAGACGATACCTCATCTTTTGTCTGTAACCAGAAACAACGGGAAAAATACAGCTCAACCGATGGCATCTGTTAGTTGACGAATATCCGGTTAAAATGGTCAAAACATGTTTGGCAACAGATATTCATTTTTATTGTTATAATTTCCCTTTTTTTTCTTCTTGTTCTACGCGCTCAATTATACTGTGCTCAGTCAGTCGTACTACCATAACAAATTTGATTAATGCAGCAATAGAACTGTCCAATTTGCCCTATCTGATTTGAAGCTGCTTATAATCTGACAGTTGGACAACAGATGAAAATCAAGTGTCAAAAGTGCTAGCCAATAAAGTTTTTAGTATGTGGGAAGAACGAGTCGTTGTGATTAAGTTCTTTAATAAATTATGGTACTTCAGATGCATCTAAATTCAGATAAATACTAGCCCACTGCATTGGGAGCAATTGCTGCATTCCCTCGGCTGCTACGCACAAGCGGCAGCTCGCTGCTGTACCGTTTCTATTTTACTACAACAATACATACTAGTTTTCACACGCTGTAATTGGTTACTTTAACTCGTTAAATAATGCAGTTACTATTTTCTCGAAGAGAACCTATGGTATGATGTCATCATCGACTTTTCCTAAACCAATACATACATATTAAGAAATCACATCAACCCCCTACCTCATCTTTACCAACATTGGTATTAGCTGAAGACACAAGGCCTGTATGATGACCTTTTTCATACAAGTCAACTTCACCCATGCACGTTGCAGGACTGTTATTGCAAGTCAATAACCCTGGATCATTGGTGTCAGGGGATGGTGCTTCTTCCTCAATTTGTGCTGCAGCTGCTTCCACCTCAATATAAGAAGCCTCCATAAAGCCAACGCTTGATCTTGCTTCTTGATTGAGGAGCCTTAACTCCTCTTCAGTTACAGACATCTCAATAATTGAGACCTCTGTCAGGTCTGGTAACACAACGGAAGAAATTATTTTTTCATCATTGGTCTCAGAGGATGGTTGTTCCTCCTCAATTTTTGCTGCAGCTGCTGTCTCGTCCGTAGCACAACATCCAGTATGATCATGACTGTACGAGCCAATCATCATTCCGCCTTGATTTACAAGCAACTGGACAACAGATGAAAATCAAGCGTCAAATGCTGCTATCCAATGAAGTTTTTAGTATGTGGGAAGGACGAGTCGTTGTGATTAAGTTCTTTAATAAATTATGGTACTTCAGATGCATTTAAATTCAGATACCTACTAGCCAACTGCATTGGGAGCTATTGCTGCATTCCCTCGGCTGCCACACACAACCGGCAGCTCGCTGCTGTACCGTTTCTATTTTACTACAACAATACATAGTATTTTTCACACGCTGTGATTGGTTACTTAAACTCATTAAATAATGCAGTTACTATTTCCTCGAAGAGAACTTATGGTATGATGTCATCATCGGCTTTCCCTAGACCAATACATACATATTAAGAAATCACATCAACCCCTCTTACCTCATCTTTACCAACATTGGTATTAGCGGAAGACACAAGGCCTTTCTGATGACCCTTTTCACTCAAGTCAACTTCACCCATGCACGTTGCAGGACTGTTCTCACAAGTCAATAACCCTGGATCATTGGTGTCAGGGAATGGTGCTTCTTCCTCAATTTGTGCTACAGCTGCTTCCACCTCCATATAAGGAGCCTCCATAAAGCGAACACTTGATCTGGCTTCTTGATTGAGGAGCCTTAACTCCTCTTCAGTTACAGACATCTCAATAATTGAGACCTCTGTCAGGTCTGGTAACAGAACGGAAGAAATTATTTTTCCATCATTGTTGTCAGAAGATGGTTCTTCCTCCTCAATTTTTGCTGCAGCTACTGCCTCGTCCGTAGCACAACATCCGGTATGATCATGACTGTGCGAGCCAATGATCATTCTGCCTTGATTTACAAGCAACTGGCTTGCACGGGCGGAGCTATCATCCACATCTGAGTTACTACTGGTGTTTCTAGATGACCTTTTCCTTCCTCTTCGTTTCTTTGAAGGTCTTATTTGTCCACGGCTCATTGAAGACGATACGTCATCTTTTGCCTGTAAACAGAAACAACGGGAAGAATACAGCTCAACCGATGGTATCTGCTGCTAAAGCAATATCGGCTAGGAATGGGAAAAAAAAGTTTTTTTGAAAACCGGATCTTCGCTTAATTTAAATTTTCCACCACATTTTAGAAATTTAACTGACCAACGAGACTCAGTCCAAGTGATTTTGAGAGATTAATATTCCTTGTATTCTTTATTTGTATATACTACAACAGTGGATAGTAATTTTTGGGTGCTGTGATTGGCTATACGGGATATCTAGAGTAACTATTTACCAAATCAGCGAATAGTAATTTTCGCGTGTTTTGATTAGCTCCCGAAATTCGAAATATCCTTGGCTATTCACCATTTTTCGAGAAACTTTCGGAAAGACAAATTTTGAGCTATAAATGAAACATTCGTAAAAACAATAAAATTCCAAGAAATCGACGAACTTTGGCTTCTCGGGGTTTACTTATTTTCCTGCTGAATTTGCAACAAAACCGTAAAAATGCACTTGAAAAAATCCCAAAATGTTTGTCAACTGTTAACAAAGTTCCTGGTGAGTGACTTTTATAATTTTAAAACATATACTATGATACATATATATATCAATTAAGAAATCACATAAACCCCTCTTACCTTATCTTTACCAACATTGGTATTAGCTGAAGAAACAAGGCCTTTATGATGACCCTTTTCACTCAAGTCAACTTCACCCATGCACGTTGCAGGACTGTTCTCACACGTCAATAACCCTGGATCATTGGTGTCAGGGAATGGTGCTTCTTCCTCAATTTGTGCTGCAGTTGCTTCCACCTCCATATAAGGAGCCTCCATAAGGCCAACACTTGATCTGGCCTCTTGATTGAGCAGCCTCAACTCCTCTTCTTTTACAGACATCTCAATAATTGAGACCTCTGTCAAGTCTGGTAACACAACGGAAGAAATTATTTTTCCATCATTGGTGTCAGAGGAAGGTTCTTCCTCCTTAAGTTTTGCTGCAGCTGCTGCCTCGTCCGTAGCACAACATCCGGTATGATCATGACTGTTGCTCGGTTACTAGTAAGGCGGAACTAAATGTTCGTTGACCGAACGTGCCCGCCTCGATAGTAGGTGTAGACTCAATGATGACCACAAAGATCATGACCTTTTCCTTCCTCTTCGTTTCTTTGAAGATCTTATTTGTCCACGGCTCGTTGAAGACGATACGTCATCTTTTGCCTGTAAACAGAAACAACGGGAAGAATACAGTTCAATGGATGGCATATGCTAGTTGATGAACATCCGGTTAAAATGCTCAAAAAACGTTTGGCAACTCGATATTCATTTTTATTATTATAATTTACCACGCATTTTCATTCTTGTTTTACGCGCTCAATTATACTGTGCTCATCAGTCGTACTACCATAACAAATTTGATTAATGCTGCACTGGAACTGTCCAATATATATGATATGAAGCTGCTTGTAATCTGACAGTTGGACAGCAGATGAAAATCAAGCGTCAAATGCTGCTATCCAATAAAGTTTTTAGTGTGTGAGAAGAACGAGCCGTTGTGATTAAGTTCTTTAATAAATTATGGTACTTCAGATGCATTTAAATTCATATACCTACTAGCCCACTGCATTTTGATCAATTGCTGCATTCCATCGGCTGCCACACACAACCGGCAGCTCGCTGCTGTACCATTTCTATTTTACTACAACAATGCACAGTATTTGTCACACAAACGGAAAGGATTCGTCGATTTAGTTAGCGCGTCAAAGTGAGGCAAAACGTAAGCAAGCGCCTCAAAGCGAGGCAAATGTGTGTCGACGACGATGACGAATGCAATCTCGAAAAAAACTCCCTTATTAATTGCACAAGATACCCAATAATGCACAGAATACCAACACAAATTAGGGGTTGCTTTCTCGTACCTCGAACGCAAAATATTTTTAAAGATGTGTTAGTTAATGCTCGTAATATACCAGACGTGACAAATTGAACACAGGCGTAAGTAGGCGTGAGATCATCGAGCTTTTCGATCCGCAGGCGTGACAATCACGCCTTAGGTATGACACTTGGCAGGTATAGAATACATTAACTAGAGTCGAGTGAGTGAGTGAGTGAGTGAGTGAGTGAGTGATCGAGTGCCATTCGACTGCCTCCAAAATTCCATGAAATGACTACGTCATCTGTGAGCTAAAAAGGAGGGAAATGCAAACCTAGCTGCCTTTCCTTAATATAAGAGAAATTATATAAGCTAACAGGGAGCCTCAGTACGTCTTAATAGCCACTTACCTTCCCCACTGTCTTCACAGCGTAGCTGTCAATAATAGCTTGCATGCCACGCAAAACGTGTTCGCGATCTTCTTGTGCAAGCATTGTCAACATCTTGTGAGCCTCTGTAGTTGAGAGGTAAAACACAAAGCAAACAGGCAGTCATAAATTAAGGCGCTAAACTCAATAAACTTAACTAATTAAACTTAATTAAGCACCAAAAAACCGTCCTTACACCTTGACCATTCCCAGTGTGTCCCCGCAAAACGTATGTTAAGGTGATGTTACACGGGACGATTCGCAACGACGATTTTTAGCGCAACACAGCGTTGCAACATTGTTGCGACATTGTTTTGAATGGTTACGACATTGTTCCCGCATTGCAACGCTGTGTAATGCTAAAAATCATTTTTATTTTTTTTTAAATCCCTCTCGGGTTATAGGTCGCTTGATCGCTTGGGGGAGACGTCCTTCATGGCCAAAGAAGGGGAGGACTTATCTGAGTGTGGGGGCTTAATAGAGGATTTACGGATGCATCATTATTGTTATCATTGTCATCATTATTGTTTGTACATTGTATTCTAATTGGGTCCAAGCAAAGCTAATTGCAAGGCTGGCAATACGGCAAAGGTTTGATTTATTTGACGCCAATATTTCGGCTAACAAAATTAGCCTTCCTCAGGGCCAGGGCTGCAGTGAAAAGGAACAGTTTATAACTGTTCCTTAAATTTGATAGATTGATAAGGTACAGTTCAACGTTCGTCCTTACGTTTAAACCCTCAGGTGAAAACTTTTTCCCTCTATTTATGAGGAAAGCTTCTCTCGCTTTACGGCGTGACATGTTAAGTGTAGGATTGAACTTCAAGTGGAAATGTTGTTGTTGTTCCCACCGCGTAAACATTCTCTCGTGGTAACCAAAGAAGCAGGTGCTATGACTATTATTTTAATCTATGATGTTACGATCACTAGCTCGGACTCATGAGAAATTTATTGTCAAAACGTTTCGAAATAAGCTAATTTAAAAATACCAGAGCACCTGCTGTGTGTAAAAATTTTAAAAGCGCCAGTTATATAAATATAAGTAACAAAATAAATATAAAATTAATACCATTGATGTCGAAACTGGTGGTGCTACAAGAAGCATCTCTGGAGATGCAGGTAGGGATCTTGTTTGCCATACTTTCATGGCTTGAATTCTCCTGTAAACATTAGAATATAGCAACCGTAAGTTCTGTAATATGAAGTATTGCCGTTTTTTATGTTGTTGTTGTTGTTGTCGTTTTTAAATCGCGAAAGCTACTTCTCTAAAAAATTCTTACTCAACACCCTACTGTTTCGACTATTGCAACCTTCAATATTCCGCTTGCTCGTTTACGTAATTGTATGTTTATTTGAGTACACTCACGTACGTACTTTGTTATTGCACGTCTATAGCTTAAATCAATGTCTTAATATTTATGAGGACGTAAATGCCCGTATCCATGTTATATCTATATGTGCGCGTGAACTTACCTTTCCTTGTTGTATCTATGTGTACGCATACGTAGTACCTAACCATGTTGTATCTTTGTGTGCGCTTCTATTTACCTTTCCATGTTGTATCTATATGCGAGCATGTAATTACCTTTCAATGTTGTATCTATATCTGCGCATGTATTTACTTATCAATATTGTATTAATTTTTGTGGATGTGTTTACCTTTCCATGTTGTATCTATATGTGTGCATATATTTACCTATCCATGCATGTTGTTTTTATGTGTGGGTATGTATTTACCTATTCATGTTATATCTATATGTGCGCATGTATTTACCTTTCCATGTTGTATCTGTATCTGTGCAGGTATTGATCTATCCGTGTTGTATCTATGTGTGCACATGTATTTACAATTACCCCTTATATTTACCTATCCATTTTGTACCTATATGTGTGTATGTGTTTACCTATCCATGCCGTATCTTGTAACTTGTATCTTCACCTATCTTTCATATATATATATATATATATATATATATATATATTTAACAATTATTCCACGAGGGCGCGTTGGATATGAGATGGAATATAGCCAACGAGACGCGTAGCGCCGAGTTGGCTATAATCATCTCATATCCAATAAGCGAGAGTGAAATAATTGTTTTATTAAAACGCCCACAAAATCTCGATGAATCTCCCCGACATAATTTTGTTAGAACAAACCGGAAAAGACAAGGAACTTCCGCCTTTCACATGTCACACGTCTACCAAAACTGTCAACGCGCGAAAGGACTGCATGAATGAAAAATCAAAACATTTTCCCGATGAACACTTTTAAAAACTCATCGGGATTCTACGATTTTACACAGCAGGACAGCTAAAAAACTCACAGATAACGTGTACAAAAAGAATTTTAGAATTTTTAAGTGCAGCCGTCGAAATTACTGTGACTTTCAGTGGAGTTTTGGTGCAGTTACAAAAGTAAGAACAATGGAGGAAAATTATTCCCTCGGTCGCCATTCAGAAACTCATGCAAAGCTTGAAGCCGCCAGCTGGTTTTGCTGAAGGAGGGAAGGAGCTATACTGACGACTGGATTTGCTGTAGTGAATGGCTGCATAGCCTGTATTTGTAGTTAATTGCTTGTGATTTGTATTGATTTGTATGTCTGATAAACAGGCTGCAGTTATCTATCGGCGAGTGGCTTCGCCATCATGAAGAAACAACACTTGTCTTCTTTCGTAGCTGGTCGAGCTATTTTAGTTTTTCGATAGACTTTCAAACAAGCTCTTTTGGCTTTTTTTCTGTGTTTGTTTTTTTTTCCCGATGAAATTGCATTTTCTAGTATTCTAAGAATTAAAATGATTTTCCTCGGGCGCCATCCTATCCTTCGCGAAAAAAATCTCATCTAGCTTCCAATTTTAAACTTACGCGTTCACTGACCATATATGGAAAGCATGGTATAATGGCTCAAATACCGTGATGGCTGAGCCAATCAAAACGCTAGAATTGCATTATCCAATGATTCAGTTTTTAATAAATATATAATATATATATATATCATTTGAGGCTTGGTCAGAACCTGACCTTTTTTTTTTACCTTTTCAGTACAAAAAACCTTATAGGTTAGTAAATCTACTCATCTCAGAAAATTTGGTAATCACGTGACCGTACACCGCCCCCGTCGGTCCGCACCACAGGGAAACCAATGCTTAATCTCACATTTTCATCAATGTTGGGATCAATTGACAGCTGTCAAAACAAGGTATCCGCTGACCAGTATCACCTGCCCGTGAATTCAGCCAGCTATTACAGGAGCTACATCTCGAATGGTAAGCCTGAGTAATTATTGCATTTGATGTTGGTTTTTTATATCCAATTTAGTGAAGTGGAGCGTAGTTTATGCGGCTATTTAATTAAATTATGCACGTTTGTAAGGTTTGAGACAATGATCTGACCGAGTACATATCAAGTTTGATATAAGCTTACAGAACTTTAAAAAGTTAAGCCTTGAGACATTTTCTCACCGCAAATAGAAAGAAAACGTTCCAAAGAATATTTAGCGATAATTCTGGCTGTAAAAGAAAGCTTTGACCTATTTTCTTGCCTCGTGTTCATCTTTGAAAAGAGCAAAAGAAACGGGAATCAAGCCTGCTTTTAAAAACATAAACTTAAGGTTTAAGCTTAAAGACTCAGCACTTTTAGAGACACTTTAAAATACTCTGAATACTTGTCTTCGTGAATGAAAATTGTTGTCTCTGTATATGTTTCACCGAATTATATTCCTTTAATTAATTGTTAGTAGTCTCTCTTGCAATTTTAAACGCTTTGCCGTTTGTTTTCAGTCGTTCATGAACATTGCTTTTGCTGGAGTACTCTAAATGCCGCGGGTATTTCTTTCTGGCCGCCTGCAGTAAAGTTTTCCGAAACGCATCATTAAGCCTTATGAAGGAACAAGTTTCACGACTGGCAAAGTCTGCCGTCGTCCAATGTGTATTTCGTCCCAATTTGGCTTAACGGGTGAAACACTGATCTCGGGCTTGAGACTAGTCTGCTACACAGCCGTTTTTAGTGTCGTCACGCAACGCTCCTCCCCACTGGTTGAGAGGAGCGTTGCGTGACGACACTAAAAACGGCTGTGTAGCAGACTAGCTTGAGACGGAAAGACATCATATTGAGAGCAGGGCGGATAAAGGTTGAGCGGTGAAACGAGCGTGTCCGAGCAAAAAGGTGTGATGCAGTGGACTGGGACTCTGCTTAGAAATGTGGCTTGTTTTCGACTTCGGTCAGGGCTTGCAATGTGGTTTGTCCATTAGACACTGCCGCCGTCACTGAATTATGGTGGCTTGATTTGTTTTCTTGCACTTCTTCCTCGTTCCTTTGTGTTGGTACGCTGTCTCCGAGAGGCAAATGTTGCTATTTTTTGCGGAAGGTTTAGTTGGAGTAGACAACTGATCTCTTTCAAAGGGTTTCTCATTAGGGAGCTCAACCTCGTTCCCAGGGTTCTCTCCTACCCGCCCCCACGGGTAGGAGAGAACCCTGGGAACGAGGTTGTAGGGAGCTTAAGCAACAACGACGGCGACGGCTACGAAAACGTCATTTAAAAAGTAAAGTCGCTCTGCTTCACACTGTTTCGCGCTTATTCCATCTCGTTCAGTTCCTCAAATGTTGGCAACTTTTTCTGGAGCTGAATTCTAAAAGACTGTACCAAAGTTCAGGAAAAGAAAAAGAAACTGGTTGTTTTGTGTTCCCGTCCTCGACAAAACGTGAAATGAGACATTTCACGTTGTAGTTGTGCAATGACGGTTAAGAAATGTACAAAAAAGCGTGATGCACGTGCAAAGCTGTTGTTTCGTCAATCTAAACACATTGCTTTTTTTGCCGTTCTCGTTGCCCTCGCTGTCGTCGTTGCTTAAGCTCCCTATTACTTCCATGACTCTACCACTTAATTATGGTTTCGTTCTACTACTCGCCAATGTTGATGTTATTCCAAAACAAAAAGAACTAAGTACTGTCTAAAACACGAAGGAAAATCTCATCCGTGTCATCCATGGCAAAACTAAAAGACAGCAGATCGTGTTTCATAACTAGGCAGGGCCGTAGCCAGGAAGAAACTACAACCGAGGCGAACACACGGTCCGTTGTACGAAATCAGCCGTATGAAATCTTCCAATATTATCAGTCTGATAAAAAAAATAAAAATCGACAGTATTTGGTAAAATTTTACCGAGGCGAGTGCCTCGGTTCGCCTCATACTGGCTACGGCGGTGCTAGGGGTGCGTTCGATTGGGAAATCCGGATTTAGATTTTCAAAATCTAAATCCGGATTTCCCAATCGAACGCGAAATCCGAAAACGGATTTCACCTCCGAGAAATCCGTCCTCAGGGTAGATTTCCATTAAGAAATCCAAATCCGGATTTTTTGGATTTCCCTTTTTGTCGTTCGATTGAGAAATCCGAAAAAGGATTTGCTAAACTGTTCTCGTGAACAGCGGACTATGCGGACTGCGCCAATGCGTACGCATAATTGGCACAAGATAGTCCGCTGTTCACGAGAGAAAAACGGAGAAAAAACCATACAACTAACCTCAACAAATTTTGTTTACATGCAGTTGCCGGATTTGCAACGCATTGCGCGAATCGCCATGGCGCGTTGGCACCCGAGAAGCAAAGTTTGAAGAAGTACAACGCCACTTTATCAATATATATCAATCTAATTTTTGTTATGTTATGTAAAATTTATCCCCTTTTAACATATGTAAAAATTGAGGTTACGAAGTGTTAAGCTTTTGCAAACGAAACGGCGAAAGACGATTAGGTGATATTTAGTGGAAGGAGGAGGTATTCAACACTTTCAAATTAAACTCAAATTTTGGCATTATACGACCAACAAGTNTACGCATAATTGGCACAAGATAGTCCGCTGTTCACGAGAGAAAAACGGAGAAAAAACCATACAACTAACCTCAACAAATTTTGTTTACATGCAGTTGCCGGATTTGCAACGCATTGCGCGAATCGCCATGGCGCGTTGGCACCCGAGAAGCAAAGTTTGAAGAAGTACAACGCCACTTTATCAATATATATCAATCTAATTTTTGTTATGTTATGTAAAATTTATCCCCTTTTAACATATGTAAAAATTGAGGTTACGAAGTGTTAAGCTTTTGCAAACGAAACGGCGAAAGACGATTAGGTGATATT